CCTTCAAGACAGCTGGGAACTACTGACAGATCCTGCGTTCCAGATTCCAACAACATCAGCTAGATCGAGGAGAAGGCCCATAATATACCTGCATATATCGCCGGTGTCCCCGTCGAGTCGCCGCACTCAATCAAGTCCAGAGCCTCACGGGACGTGGACTAGTGAAAAGCTGTCTGCCCACAGTTAACTGCTGAAGACGTCAGTCAGAGATAAGCAAGCCCGTGCGCGGTCCGTAGTCCGTGGATTGCTCGGGCCAAGCCCAAGCTTTGTCTCTTCCAAGTCTCCAAGAATCCAAGACAGCGCCCAGTTGGGTACGCCGACTCGGAACAAAGCACCAGATGGGTGTCAGCCTGAGTCACCAGAACAATTGCGCAACAGAGAGGAATTTGAGCAGGCTGAGCAAGGCTGAGGCACCCGAGCGGGCTGGGATGTGGATACCATCTCCCGCAGCGCCTCCCAAGTGCTAGGAGGTTTTTGTCAAGGTCTGAGAACGAAAGAAGACAGAAAACGATGGCTGATTATCGTCGAGAATTTGAATGACTATCGTCGTCTTCCTTTCTCCGTCGGCCGGGTTGATATCATGATGCATCATCCCGACTGCGCCACCCAAGGCGATGGGCGAAGCGCCTCAACAGAGCCTCGCACGAGAGTGATGATCTCTCGTCGATCCAGAAAATCAAGGAAGTCTTGATGATGGTCGTCAGAGGTTGTGGCATCGTACATCGTAGGACATTCTCAGCTGGTCCTGGTAAAGTCTCAGAAGAGAAGTACCGCCGAGGTCGTCTTGAGAAAAGCACGGAAAAAAGGCGGACCGTCGTTCCCAGCTGACGGTCTGTCTATTGATTGGAAGCCTGCAAGAAGAGGCAAGAAGTACAAACGCTTGCACTCTCGCAGCGTCATTGCCTGCTTCTGGGTGCTTTTTCGGAGCGAGATGCCTGATTTCCTTTAGGACAATCGATTCGGATACTGCAGAAGCCATGTCGGACCGACCTATAGGCCTTGGGAGCTCAAGTGCTCCGGGTGATAACGCAAAGCTGTCATCCATCACAGATAGGCACGGGAACGGGGCGTCGTATTGCAATCGTGATGGTGTATGTAGAGTACGCAGACAGGACATGCAAATGCGAAGTGCGATGCGAATGTCAAATGCCAGGCGGACTAGAATGAACAGACAAAGGATGAATAAGTGACGATAACTTAGGTGGTACAGATGACGAGGACGAAGCATTGGTTGGTGGTGGTACAGAAATGCAGGTAGGATATACGAAAAGTCCTGCGACGCTTGTCAGCGACGGAGAAGATGATTGGGGGGAGGAGACGTACCCAGAAAAAATCCAAAACGAAAGCGAAGGCCGAAAGCGAATGAAAGCAATCACTCCACGACGACAGCAGCTACCCCACGACGTCCTCCCTCCTCCCCCAGCCTATCACCGTCGAGGGCTCAAGAGACGACGCGAGGTGGTGCTATCTACCGGTGAGTCCAGTAGTACCGGGGCGGCTTCTGCGACGGATGCTCAAAGTAGTATGAATCCGTTGTCGACTCTGACGTCTCTCTTGAACGCGACGATTTCTTCGTTCGGCCAGACTTCGATTTCGGTTTGGAGGACTTGGATTGACGGTGTGCTCGCTTTTCTGATTTCAGGGAGGGTGGACGTGATTTCCGGGATGGCTGGATGAGGACGATGGTAATCAGCACCGCGTAACGTTGGGCCGCATACACAAGGGCCAGAAGACTCACTTTGGGTTGTCCTTCCGCTGACTCCGAGTTATCGTCTTCCACTTCCTCCTCTGTCTCCGGCTCTGCATCTAGCTCTGGATTCCCTCTTTCTAGGTCCTTATCGCCCCGGGGTGGTTCTTTTGTCCTTGACTTGCGCTTCCGACTGCGCGCCTCAGCTGCCTCGATTTCCATCATCCGTTCCCGGCGTCTCCTCCGGCGGACTTGGAAGATGACTACAGCGATGACGGCTACGAGGACGACAACTGTATAGATAGAGCGTTAGCGCCAAAAGGATTTGAGGGCAGAGCGACTCTTACCGAATACTGAAACTACGGCGGCTTCCCAGGCGAGGCCCAGGTGTCCTGAGCGGGGACTAACAACGATAGTCGTCATATTAGTCGAGTTCTTGCGAACGGTAAGGAAAATAGGAAGAAAATAAGTGGAAGGGGACCGAAGTAGAGATAAACTAGGAGGTAGAATTGTATGATCGGCGACCGCAATGTGATTCGAAGATTTTTGGGCTTGGAAGGCGACACCGCTATGCTTTATAGGAGCAAACGACTAATTTGTCGGCTGTATAGTTCGTGCACGGGGGGCGCAGTGCCTGGTGCGGCGTTCACAAGGAAAGGTACGTGGTGGTACGGAAGGAAGAGATGGAAAGGGTGGGTGGAGTCTGGAGCGACAAATAAGTAGGCAACATACCCTGCGTCTTCTTCTACCGGCATTCGGTGATTACACGGACGGCAAGGCGAAGGGATGCAGGATGTAAGTTGGGTCCCGGATAATCTAGCCTCTGACTAATGGGGGCGAGCAAGTGTCAAGTGGGCTCAATACAATGCAGGGTTCGCTGCGCCGTGTGATAGGATCGCTGGGCGTCGTGGGCGTCGTCGAAGATGGGGAACGTTGGGCTGGCGGGGCGCAGATGGGGCGGCAGCGAAGGAGGATGCAGGCGCTGGCTTTGTCGGTGGGCTGGGTTTTATAACACGACCAGGCTGCGTCGACCAAGCCCTGCTCCAGCACAAACCCAAGCCCCAAGCCAGAGTCAAGCCCATGGGCTGGGCAACACCCAAGCAAAAGGAAGCGATAGTGCACCCGCCAAGCCCAACAGGTCCCACCTCTGGGTATGTTGCCAACACCGCCAAGCCCATCCCAGCCCGTCTGCTGTCGCCGTCGTGCACAACACCCAGCCACCATAGGCCTTCGTCCCCAGAGGAATCCTGAGATTTTCTCGTAAGGCCTCCATTGGAAGCACAAAAAGGATAAGCTCACCCAGTGTGCGTGTGTTGTGTGCGACCGTGGTGTTCCGCATTTCTCAATGCCAAGTCTTTCTTGGGGCTTGTCACTCAATTGCCTGCCGAATCTACCTTGTCTGAGCCGCTACGGCCTGTACGGACAGCTCGGACTGTCATTAGCGTTCTCGAGGCCCATCGAACACAATTCTGGCAGCGAAAACGGCGCGCTGATGCCGTGGTAAAAGGCAAAGAAACGATCTGTCCATTGCACTGATCGATTGCAGAGATTTCTTTGCCTGCTCCTCTGCTCTGCTGCGGCTTCGAAGAACAAAGGCACTCAGTCAGCAAATCCAAGCTGAGCGAAAGGTCAAGCATTAGTACCTCGTCTTGCATCTCATCCAAGCCCACAATTCCTGCTAAGAATTGCAAAGATTCGGATGCGTCCGAGAACGCCAAGTTTCGAAGTTGGAAGCCTTAGCTGAAATAGAAAGGTTGCTGTTCCGTCTCGACCATGTCTTCGATGATTTCGTCATAGACGTCCGAAGGTTTTCTAACTAGTCAAATTTTGTACACAAGCCAAAAATATGACGAAAGATACGACATCGACCGCTGTTGTATTGGACAGGTTCGCCCTCTAACCCCGCAATCTAGCTTTCTTTTCAAGAAGAGGCGATAGAGCTTTGGCAGCCTTCGAAGTCCGTTTTTTCTGCCAGAACATTTCTTGGCCCACAGAGCGTCTTCAGCTTTCACCACCAGCGCCGGAGCATGCCCCTCTTGGGCTGCTCAGCGACTTTTTATCAACACTTGATCTCCGAGAAGTCAAAACAAGAAGAGCTTTTCTTCGTTGAATCTCCTAAGCAAAACTTCTGCAAGGCCTAGACAAGGCTGAGAAGTGGGCCTTTCCCGAAAGTGTGATCTTAGGGCATTTCTTCAATTGCGGAGGAGCAACGGACGAGAGCTTCTCTTGTTTTTACAACGGAAGTTCCGGCCCGAGACCGGCCCAATTCGGAACGCAAACGATAACACACTCACGCTCAGCGTCTCTTACATGCCTCCTACAGCGCCTTCACTTGCGCAGAACATCACACTCAACTTTGCGAGCCCCGAAAATTGCAGACGAACGCGTCTAGGTCGACCAAATCCACTCAACTGAACACGAAACGTTTCACTTTCGTCCAGTTTACCTTGCAGCATGGCTTCGTTCGTTCGACACGGAAAGAAGGTGCGTCCGTTGCATTAAAACTGGAGTATGACAAGTCAAACTGAGCTCGCGAATGAATTTACGAATGAACGAAACCAGATCGTTGCGATTGGGAGGAACTACGCCGCTCACGCAAAGGAACTGAACAACGCTGTGCCGAAGGAGCCTTTCTTCTTCCTCAAGCCCACGTCGAGCTACCTACCGTCCGGCGGCAAGGTCGAGATACCGCGAGGTATTGTGGCGCACCATGAAGGTGAGTCTTCCTTAGTTTGTTCCACGACCTTGCCCTGCACATGTCTCCGAGACGAAACAAAACGGGCCTCTTTTCTCCAGGAGCGGGCAAGAAAACGCATGTTCCGTGTTCAGTCTTTCATCCTCCAAACTTCATTACATTAATCGTCTTCTCGGCCTTATGATTGCGAGCAAGCTTTTCTGACATTCTCCCACCCTTTCGCACTTCCAGTGGAGCTCGGACTTGTGATAGGCAGAGGAGGCAAGAACATCCCCCAAGCGAGCGCCGAGTCGCACATCGCAGGCTACAGTACGTCTACTTGCCATCTGTCTCGTCCTCGGACATGCAACGACACGAAACACCAAGGCTAACTGCGTCCTCGCTCTAATTCTATCTATCTTTACCGCTCGCTCCTATCTCCTTGTTCTGTCAAATCGCTATCCATATCCATACACATACACGTCCGATAAACCCATATTACGCGTCATCTCCGTCTAATGTCACCTCGCCGGTCTTTGCTCTATTCTACCCTACCGCCTGCCGACGGTTCGACCTCGACCCCAAACTCGAATATACGCTCAAACGCCTGCTACGCGCCCACTTGGACATTACATCTATTCTGGCCAAGTAGCCTTGGCAGTGGACATGACGGCGCGCAACCTGCAGGACAAGGTACGCAAAGCCGGCCTGCCGTGGTCTGCTGCGAAGGGGTTCGACACGTTCACACCAGTTGGGTGAGTTCTTGTCTTGTCTTGGGTATGCCTTGCTGTGAGCGATTTTCGCTGATCACGCTTCTACTTCTGTCTTGTTCGTTTCTATTCTGTTCTTTCTACGGCCGTTGATTTCACTCGTCAATTTGGTTAACTACCCGCCTTGGTTCGCTCGTCCGCGTTGCCCGTGTACGACGCGACATGAAATGCTAAACGACGTGCCTTGCATCTTTCGTTAACTACATCATACCCAACTCACATCGCACGTCGCTATCTACCCATTTCATCATCTGCCCGTCTGTATAACAGTTCCTTCCTCCCGAAAACCGCGGTGAAAGACGCACACGACCTCAAACTTTCTCTCAAGGTATGTCCTCGAAGCTACCCATTCCCAAGCACTTTATTTCCCCCCAAGGCAGATGCCCGCTTCCTGCTTGTCTAACTCTGTTCCCCGACTTCTTTGGCCAAGCTAGCTACGACGAGCGGTCTAGCCATTCAACTGACGAACTACTCCATGTTTCTAGATTAATGGCGAGACGAAGCAAGACGGTACAACCGCCGACATGATCTTCCGGATACCCCGCCTGGTCGAGCATGTTTCGTCGATCATGTCTCTTGAGGTAAGTCCCATTCCCGTTGTCCTCTTTCTTCATATTCTATTCGCGTCCTATGCTACTTGGAGTTTCTACCCTTCGACGCTCAACAAGCTTTTTCCATTTTCCTTTTTTTCATTAATTGCATCAACCTTTCATTTTCGGTCGTCGATCCACCTATGTCACCCCTGCTGACGATTCGATTCGATGAAACGCACAGGAAGGAGATGTGATCCTAACCGGGACACCCTCCGGGGTCGGACCTATCCAGCCTGGCGACAAAATCGAATGTGCACTGTCCCAACCGAATGGCGAGGAGCTGCTCAAGTTGAACTTCGAGGCTGTACAGAGAGAGGGAGGGTACAGCTTTAAGGAGGACTAGAGGTCGCGTTTGAGGTTGAGGTACCCGGAACAAAGGGGATTAGACAGCCATATCTGTAAGAACAGCGATCTACAAAATCTAAGGATATCTACGCCGCGACTCTTACATTCGCTTTACTGCAGATGCGAGTACCAAGCTGGTCCTCGTCAAATGATCAACCACGTACAAGCTCTTAGACGCAACAGGAAGAAAGAAAGCGAAAGAGAAGAGAAAAAGAATAATTTTAGTACCAAAATATCAAAAACATCATTTCGAACTGCTCGAACTGCTCGTCGATGGCCCAAACGTTGACTCAAACTTCGCATCCGCGACACTCGTGGACGTGCCCTCCTTGCCCTCCTCTCCTGCGACATTTTCGCTGGAAGAGGCGAAAGTCCAACTACCCGGCGTTGTCGGCGTCAGCTCACCGTCCTCGGCGCCTTGGAAGTCTCCGAAATCCCCAAATGACTCGAAGGAGTCTTCGTCTGAGAAGGAAGAGCTGAAGGTGAAGCCATCGCTAGTAACAGCAGGTGAGTCGGAGAAGGGGCCGAAACCGTCCTGGATGAAGAGTGGGTTGTGAGATGTTCACGACCTGCTATAGGGAAGGTAGACGTACATCATCTTCTGGATTGAAGGGGTCGTCTGCCATGCTCAAAGTATTGGATCCACCAGGCTCAAATGCATCCTACGCGAACGTCAAATGTCAGAACACACTTGCGTGTTGACACATGAGGCTACCTACATCAAACCCGCTGCCTAAAGGTCTCCGGTCGCCAAAAGTCCGTGATGACAGAGGTGGATTGGTTAAGCCAAACGTCGACTGTGTGAGCCATCCTTCGTCCTCGTCATCTTCATCAGAGGAGGATCCGAAGTGCTCTGATGAGCCCATTTCTTGAGCAAGGTATCTTGCGAACTGCGAGACAGCATATATCAGCAGTTTCCGGAAGAAAAAGGGAGGAAAAAGAGCATACATGTGGCGCTCGACCACTCGATACGTTATCCTCATCGTCATCCTCCTCATCCATCGGCGCGGGTCCAAAGTCAGCAGTTGACCTTACACCCGACGAACCCACACCCGCTCTCCTAAACTCTCCCCTCACACCACCACTCTGCGCATTCTCTCCAATCCCACCTGGGGCAGATGCATGTACAGCGTCAGCAGCCATGTCGTCTTCGTCCACCTTCCATTGCGACACGTTTCTCGCGGCAGTCTTGATGACAGGTTTGCCTCCGCCAAGGAGGCGGTTGTCCTCCTGCTTCGTCTCGTTGTATCGTCCGGTGACGAATTGGTCCCATTCGGGCTCGGGGGCGTATTGGATGATGATGAGACGGAGGTCGGGCGGGAAACGCGCCATGGCGGTGATGACGTCTTCCGAGATGAGCATCAGGTGACCCATATAGCCGAGTCGTACTCCTTTTGGTTTTGAGCTATGGAACGGGCCTTTGTCAAAGAGGGAACCGCAGCGAGGAGAGCAATTCTTACCACTCAAGATCGTTTCTACTTTGCCCCTCCACGATACGATGGAGAATTTTCGCGTCACGGAACAGAGAAGTGACCAGCTCTCGATTATGATGTCCACTCTCTACGCTTCCGGTCATAACTTGGTGCACGATGTCGTAAACGGCGCTGTGCAAAAAGTTGTTCCAGGGAAACTCGAAGAACAAATCCTGCAAGAGTTCAGAATGATAGCTGGAAATCAGGCAAAGAAGAGGCATACAATCATTGTTTCGACTATCTTCTGGTCCAACAGTCGCCGCTTCAGCTGCTCGCCAACGGGCAACGACTCTACGGATGCCTCCAAGGTCGGTTTTCTCCTCGAACGAGAGCTTCGTCTTGACCCGCGACCCGATGTTGAACGCCGAGTCATACCCGAAGACTCCGAATCAGGACTTGACGCAACAGTAACGGCCATACTACTCATCGGTGTTTGGTCTATACTTTCTGACGAGGCGGTACTTGCAGGAGATGATGCCACTGCCATTGTTGGTGGTAGAGACTTCGTGACGGGTATAGGTGAGAGTTGCGGGTCGTCATACATCGCAATCTCCTCCATAGCTTCATCGTCTGAACTGCCCGGTTCATCTTCCGAATCGCTCATGTCATCGTCGGAGTCGAGAGAGGGCGAGTCGTCAGAAGGATTTCGCACGGGAAACTCGTGCGATGACGCAACTTCATCTTGTTCTTCGTCCATGGCGTCATGTTCGCGGTCATTGCTGCTATTGAGGGCGATGACTTGCGCAAGTTCCTCTAGACCAGAGAGACCACCTTGTAATCGACCCTCTGAGTCGTACATGTGCGCATAGGCAGTAGAGCGATTTAGAAGAGACATGTTGGAGCAGTGTAGTAGCTCGGCGTAGAGTTCGACGATGCGGTATCTTTCTAAAGTGAAGGGTGTCATAGTTCCAATTGTTGTTGAGATAGGACCTTGCTAGATGAGACTTCAATGATGCGTTGGGCGTACAAAGGAAAGGGGCGTACCAGCGACCTAGGAACTTTGAGGTACTTCTGGAAGTCGTGCAGCCGTGCACCTAGTACCTCCAACACAGGACCTAAGTGGACAACACCCATCCGGGCCACCATCTCCGCCATGACTTGTTCAAGAGAGGCTCGGATATCCTCTCCTGATAGATGTGATTGCTGTTGCACCTGGATAAGCCGATTCCGTAGGGTATGAAAGAGATAAGGTTCGAAGTAGTCCGAGTTGTTCTTTCGTATTAGCTCGATAACAACAGCGATGGATTGAACGACAGAAGATATTGACGAATCGAAAGTAGGCCGAGAGCCTTCGTCAGAAGTGTTGTGTTCAGTTGGCGTGTTGCAGCTGTCGGGCGAGAACTCGTTCAGCATGTAATCGGCTAGTTTTGCTATATTCTCCCTTGTAGCGAGTTCGCGGGCAAAACGATTCGAAGCTGGGCCATTTTGGAGACCCTCGGTAAGGCCTGCCCCGGGAGAGGGAGTAGCCATTGAAATTATATTTTTGATGAGATCTGTTACGACTGAGTGGATGGAGGATGAGTGTTGGGGAGAGAGTAGGTCTATCAATCGGCCCATGAGGTTTTCGGAAGACAACCACTGTATGCAACTGGCCGTCAAACGCCTGCATAGATAAAGAGCCTGACCACGCACCTCTAAAACATTACTATTTGGAATCGCCTCGTCCAACTGAACGATACGCCCAATTAGATCGACGAAAGAGGGTGTTTCGATGTGCATGAGTAGCCTTTCCACAATGTTCGGTTGCGATTGAATGAATGCGAGCATCTGTACCAGAGATTCCAGGACTCACATACAGTATACAAGAATTGGAAAACAACATACCTCCGCAGGTTTTTTCGTCATAAAAAATGAGTTGATTTTTGCAAAATGTGAAGCCATGATCATCTCCGTGCTCATGTCTTCAGGAGTTCTATCGAGGACGGTCTCCCAGAAGGGCACGAGTATCTGCCTCTGCTCGTTCACACATGTCTCGACGATAGACCATATCTCGCTGCACAGTACTTCCGTTGCGATATAGGGATACCTGTTGGTCCATAAGTTTGTCGCAAGATGAATGTTGGAGCCAAGAGAACACTCACTTGAACCGCCCCTTCTCCTCGGTCTCGATCTGGCCCGTTACATACCCGAGTAGCTTCTGCAACACGTCCACCCGCTCGAAGTAATTGATAAGTCGCGTGTTCTGCGATTTGCATTCCTGAAGAAGGTCGTCTTCGTCCAGGATCGCCTCGAGCGCGACGTCCTCCCTATCGAGCAGACTGTCGATGGCGGAACCATTATGGAAACCGAATCTGTTGGCAAAAGGAACGGCAAGAACGAACAAAACTGAGCGTCAGAAACCGTTCCCGAGGAGGTTGTGGCAGACTACCTCCAAAACATGAGGTTTCGGTGAATGTGGTCACCGAGTAAGTGGGAAGGAAGAAGGAAAGGAAGAATCGGAGCACGCTGCCGTCAGCCGTAGTCACGGTACGACCTCCCGACCACTAACCCAGTCGATGAGAAAGTATACTTTAAGGTTATCACGGACGGCGTAGGCAGCGAGCGGGGTTGCACGATGTAGCTGGCAATTTGACTTGAATGTAGGACTGGCTTGATAAATGCACTTCGAAGTCAACCGGAAGAAGGCAACGCAGGTTCATAACACGGCTATTAAAAAGTACAGTAATCGGGTATATACGAAAGAATCCCTTCCTAAGAAGCACTAGAACTGGGTGGGAGATGAGGACAAAAGACAAAGATTTAAAGAAGAGCAAGACATACCCTTATCTGATAATTCCCATTAGCTTTGGTAAGATAACGAACCCACTTTATGCTCTGATAGTTGCTCTTCTCGAACACCTTCAAGAATCTCACAATCAAGCCAGACGCAGTAAACATTAGGACCTGGAAGTCAACGTCGATAGGTGGTCTCGCCCAAACTTGTCGAGTAGTGGTGCTTGTAAGAGCTGCTGTGGCGCCGAGTGTGCATTCTTGGCCACCCTGCAACCGCGAAATCCTGCGAAACCAAACGACGGTCAACCGACGAATGGCAACAGTCGTTGAGGCGAGCATACTTCCAAACAATGACGTTTTCTGCCGGCACATACTTCGCCTTCCCAACCGCAACTTTGCAATCCACTGAAGTTGTGTTTAGCGGCGTTGGTATCCGTAGAACGACGTTGGTGGCCGACAATTTATTGCCGAAGTTCGTCTTGACCGTCACCGTGTATTGGACTTGAGAAGTTCCAACCTCGGTCACGGATGTGATGATACGAAGGGGCAGCTTGACATTTGACGTTGAACGATATCTCATAAGCTCGAATTCGCCATCAGGAGGGATAAAACTAATCGTCCGTGTGGCGTCGAAGTCGTTGAGCCTGACGCACTGGTGGAAACGACAATCGTCAAGTTCAACTGCGTCGCTGATGCCCTTCTCATTCTTGTCAATAACGAGTTTATCATTGAGGCCCAATTTGCACTCTGGAGTACCGGAGAGGTATGCCCGCATCTGAATGTGCCCGTCGACGTCTGCGCGGAGAATGTTGCCTGAGAGGGAAACATGAGTTAGGGTATTGCGGAAGAATTTTTAGAGGGACGCACCTTTCGCACTCATGCTCAGGTTAACGTTTTCTATCACGTCAACGAATGCCTCATTCTTCTTGTACTTCACGTCAGCTCGTCTCCAGCTGGTCGCGCCCGTAGCTTGAGTCGTGATCTTCGAGGATTCTTCCTATAGAGTAACATTTGGATCAATGCCCCACTAACCGCCAAAGACTACGCACTGTGGCAATGGATGTCGACACAATGCTCTCCGTCGTGATGTAGGACTTGAGAGTGTCGATTTCACTATTTTGAGGGTACCCGAAATCGTTGATTTCTGATTCCTTGTCAGTCGACAACACCACCCGTCACGATCCAAATTCACTCACCATCGATTAGCTCATATATCACGACAAAGTTGTTCTTCACTGCCTCTTCATCAATCTTGCCAAAGTACGACTTGCAAATGTTGATGAATCGGTAACAAAACTCGAAGACCAGAGCAGCGTTCGCATTTGTTCTACATGACCAACCAATGTCAACAGCAGTTGGATGACCTGCTAAGGATATACGCACTTGGTTACCGCAACAACATACAAGTTGTTAATTCTGACGTGGAAGAAACTCGTGGAACCGAGGGTAATAATTGGTGACCGCACATCGCTATTCGATACGACTTGTATCCGGAATACGTCGGCAATGGACCGTCTAGATGACAGGCAGCATGAGCTTGTAGCCTCACTCGAGCAAGTCAGGGACCACACTTGAAATCAGGACGGTAAAGCCGCGATATCAGGACCTAGAGCCATGAGTTAGCCTTTTGGACAACCATATGCCATTTGGTGACGCACTTCTCCCTTTTGGTTGAAGATGAAGAAGGCCTTAAGCACGTAGGATGAGCTAGGATATCGTTTGGGCAAAGCAGACACGTACCGATATCATGCTTGAAGAACTTCAAGCCAAGCTTATGCACTGAAATTGTCTTGGAAGAGGTTGGTTGGTAGGAGAGGTGTTTCGCTTGAGTGATCGCATTGAAATTCGAAGGTTGTATGCTTTGCACAGCCACAGGCGTCACCACTCTGACCTCAACCAGCCTCAACCACCATCTCTGACTTATTCTTCATGTTTTCCCTGCATGGTTTCTCTAATGGTATATCTACTCGAATGTCTTTTCTGTGCAAGCGAACATGCATACCCAACTCCTGGCAGCTTGCCTATTCGGAAGAACAAAGGAAAACTCGTTTTTATAGAGTAATAAGTATAGACTATGACCTCGAGGTATTGGAGTGGCAGTACTCGAAATACCGAAAAATCACCTTTCAATGGTGCGAGCGACAGCTCGTTCAGGTGGAAAGTTTGCATTGTGAGATCCCTTCTCAATCGCCCAAAGTCTTACTCTCACGTTCGTCGCTACCCCAGATCAAAGCATGGTCGGATGTCCTGGCTCAATGCCAGCTCGACTATATCTGTATAGAAGTGCCACGGATGTCCCCTGAATGCTTCGCCTGTGGATACAATACCAGGGTGCCTTTTTGCACCTTCCCCCCGTTTCCGACTCTTTTCTTCCCATCCTAATTTTGCCACACGTACGCGTGTAGCAACCTGCGAAGCATTCCAACGGACTTTATTAATATTAGGTGTTTACCAACTTTTGCTTCTACGTGTAATGCCTATCGAGAATTTGTCGGCGAGGAGAGTGTATAAGCTTCGCATGGATGGAAACCGCCTTCTTTGACACAACATGGTCGCTCTTCTCTCCCTCCGCTCCCTGTTTACCGCATCTTGGGCCCTCGCTTCATGTACAGCGAAGCTTGCATGGAGCGACACGAACCACATGATGGTGTTTGGTGATTCGTACACTACCGAAGGTGCGAGCACGTCTCTATCCTCTTGGCGGAATTATTTCTGATGTCGACTCGATTCAAGGGTACAATGTTTCTGCAGGAGTTGATTCACCGGGTATTCCTTTCCAGAATTATCTACCCATATACTGAAGCCAAGATGAAGACTTCTTCCAATGGACCCAACTGGGTGGGACACCTCCGCTCAACGTACAATGTCGCGAACACGAAGGTAGCTCCGCGAAAAACCTGCCGCAATGAAGGTTGATAACGAAGCACGATGCGGAGATCTTCAACCTTGCATACGGAGGGGCTACGATTGACTCCAAATTGGTTATGCCGTGGATGCCAACGGTCCAGTGAGTTCGATTGTAATCCTTCATTGGTAATACAGCCCTGAACCACACTTTTTTCCGGGTTTTAGATCAGTTGTGGATCAAGTCTATCTGTTCAAACAATTCATCGCCCCGAAGCCTGCGGCGGCCCCATTGCCGAGCAACGATACCCTATTCGTGTTCTGGATTGGCATCAAAATGATGTTGTAAGCTTTACTACTGATTGTGTCCCTCGACTGCATTAGAGTAATCAAAAAAAAGTGGAAACCTGCTGTGGCCGCAACAGGAAACACTGAGGGCGAGGTCACACGGAAAGAACAGGACCTCGGTCTATACTGAGAACGAGTACGGACGACGAGTACAAGGTACGAGGTAAAAGCGAGCTAAGGTAGACCGGTGACCGTCTGTATATGACAGAGCGTGATCTGTGGGAGGAATCTGTGAATATCGATTCTCATATTCAGGCTGGTCACGAGCCTAGAGCTAAGGAAAGAGGTGTCATGACGCGGCGGGGGACATCCGTAACGTGACTATGATGTAAGCCAGCTCGTTTTGCTGGGTACGACCTTGCTCTAATTGCCCTTTCTCTGAAACAGTTTTCGCTAAGTAGACTAATGTCACTCAAGCAGAATTCCACAATACACTGATGAAAAGGCTGGATGCCCAGGTTCGCTTTACCAACATCTGTCAGAAATTGTATTCAACTGGAGCCCAGGCGTTCCTCTCCCTGACAGTCCCACCAACAGACAGGTCTCCTCTCATGGTCCAACAAGGGTCTGGTGCTGCGTCCAGTATCAAGACCGCACTTGCGAATTATAACAGCAGCTCAGCGCCCTCGCTTTCCACTTCCAGGTAAGGCACAGAGACCTCCGCCAGGTGACGGTGTTCGACACGCTACTCGACAATGCGGAGACGTTTGGCTATGTCAATGTCACTGGTTGGTGCGAGGTGTATCAGAACGGGACGCCGCAGGTGGCCACCCAGATCGCTCCTTTCGCGCCTGTGTCGAATTATTTGTGAGTGATTCGTGATGAGATTGAAAAGTTGGCTAACTCGATGGAGGCTCAACTTGGAAGGCGAGCTCGCGAGCCGACCACAAGTTCAGCTGTGGCTTTGTAAGCACGGTGCGGGGCCATGCTTGACGTCTCGTTCTCCAGCCTTGACAGGCTTCCCTGGCCCGTGCATACAGATGATAAGGCTGGAGGAACGAGACCCGTTTTCTCTTGCCTTCTTTCCTTCATTCCCGCGTCGCGACTCGCCTGTCGCCTTGCGTGTCATTTTTTCGACCCACTGCCACTGCCAACAGCTCATCTCCGTCATGGCTCAGACTTCCTCATCTACTCCTCCTTCTGGAGCTCAAAACAAACAGCCTCTCGCTGCGGCAACATCCTCGGGCACTGGATCGACATTACCGACAGGCAACTCAGTTGCTGACATCCTGGCACGCAACGCGGCACTGCAGGTTCGGCGCGACGCAGGCGAAGTCGGTGTTCCGGCCGACGAAGACATACCTCCTCAGCCTGCGCCTTCTCGCCCATCCACACCTCCGCAAAAAATTGCGCTGACACAGGTGTACGCTGCTCTAGCTACATGTTCCCCTGCTTCACAAAAAATCATTCGTGACACTCTTAATTCTACCTTAAACGAACCCATCACTACTTTAACTTCCTCCTCGACACCTATTCTCATTTATTCAGTCGCTAATGAATCCGCTGCTTCTACTTCTCACTCCTCGGGTTACGGCATTCATCCTTACCTTGTTACTCTTGCAAATAATGGTTTTCACCTTCCTCTTACCCTTTTTACTACTGCCTCCACCAACCGTTTACATACCAATGAGGCCACCATCGTTCACAAACCTGTCTTCAATCGTGCCGGAGTCAAACGTCACATCATGGACGTCTCACACTTCCCTATCGAAGGGGACATGGATGTCGCGGATTGGCATGAAGCCTGGAACCGGTACTTGGTCTTCGTCGGGGTTCACGGTGAAGCCGACATTTCAAAGCGATGGAAAGAACATTTCTCTTTCCTCTCAGGACAGGATAACTTCAAACTCAACTTCCCCGCCATTCTCAGATTCGATATCGAGATCCGCACCAAATATGCCATAGAACCCAGGCACCATGACGAGGACGCCTATAGGCGTCGCTTCGAGGCCGTCAAGCTTGAGGTTCTTCAGGAATCCCTCCGCAAGGCCGCTGTCGAATCCGACACTCGTTCCTACCAGACTAAGGCCAAGCGCTTCACGCCTTACTCTCGTGACGAACGCGACCAAACCTCCTTTCGTTCCTCAGATCGTTCCGAAAATCCTTCTAGCGGGTCCTTTCGAAACAACAGATCATCCTCTACCAATACCCCCATCTGCCTCATCTGTCAACGAGATCACAAATTCGCTGAATGCAAAGAAGAGGCATCGAAGGCAGGCAAACAAGCGATCGCGAAATGCGATGGTCGAAGCCTCGTTCGCCGTTCCGACAGCAGTCCCATCTGCACCTCTTTCAACCTCAGCCGGAATTCCTCTTGTCGTGACAACTCCAAGCCTTCATTCTGCGGCGCTTCTGATCACGGAGCTTGTTCCCGCCGTTGCGCCTAATCTTCAATCACCTTCAATCACTTCTGCGTATGTCACTCAATCATTTGTCAACGAAATTCTCTCAAATTTCTTCTTTCAACCTAGTCTTACTGCATCGTTGCGCAACAAGTCTCTTCTCGATATCATTCAATCGCTCAGCTTCAATCCCGCTCTCGTGACCAAAGATCGCGTTCCATATTTCAATTCGCTCACTCACATCGAAACTCCATATGACCACGATTCCGATTTCGTCAAATCAATCACGCCTTATTCAGCCGAAGCCTTTCAAGTTTATCTTCTCAATGCTCAGATCGTAGATCAATATCCCGAACTCTGCTTCAAATTATTGCACGGCTTTCCTCTTGGCGAATTAACGCCACTCACAACTTCTTTCACACCACCAAATCTGCCTTCAGCGGTGCCATATACTCACGTCATCCGCGATTACATTCAAGAAGAGCTACGCCTAGCTCGATTTTCAGGCCCTTTCACCAAAACTCATCTCGAAACCAAAATAGGACCGTTCCGTTCCTCACCTGTTCAAGTTGTGGTAAAACCGGGTGCGCCTGGCCAACCTGACAAGTTCCGGTGTTGTCGGAATCTTTCATATCGCGGAAATCTCCATTTCAGTATCAACGACGATATCAATCCTGACAAATATCCTACTCGTTGGGGCACCGCCCTTGAATGCGCCAAGATTGTAGGTCGTTGTTCTTATTTCTATCAATCCCTTCAATTCGGATGTTCTTCGCGAAAAATATGCCAGAAACGTGATACACATCGCACGCCTGGTTTTTTGCTTGAAGACACGCATTGAAGGGTCCTTTCATCTTCATATTTTCATATTTTCATATTTTCATATTTTCATATTTTCACTCGTAGTTCACGTGCTCATCAAAGATTTTGCTTTCATATTCCTTCAGGTTTCCGAAGCTCCAGTCGGAACACAAGCATGCACGCTTGATATCGAAGGAGCCTATCGAACCATCCCTGTCTGGCCCAACGACAAACGCTACCTCATCGTTCAATTTGAGGGTATGTTTTTCATCGATCACAATGTTCCCTTTGGTCTCGCTTCAGCCTCGGGCCTGCAAGGCGAGGTTGCCGATGCTATCGTTGATATCTGGCATGCGCTTAATGTCGGCCCCGTCATCAAATGGGTCGACGACTTCAATGTGTTTCGTCATCCTTCTTCTGGAGGTCCCTTTTTGGACGTATCAGCAGCCACACTCTATCGCTACGATTATGATTTAGATTACATCAAGGCCATGATCGCTCCTCTCGGCGTCCCATGGCACGATACAAAAGGATCCCCCTTTGGGGACACATTCTCTTACGTTGGATTCGAGTGGAACCTCCCACAAAAGACTGTCTACCTCACTCTCGCAAAACGCGAAAAACATCGGACTAAGGTCCTCTCTTTTATTCAGCAGGCATCCTCTTCGCAATTTCTCAAGAAAGAAGTCGAATCATTATATGGTTCCCTTTCACACATATCATTCGTCTATCAACGGGGCAAAGCCTACCTCACAAACATTATATCCTGGCTACCCAAATTTCCCAACGACTTCACGCCTCGATGGGCACTGCCATCCGTGATATCCGATCTCAAATGGTGGCTCAACGTTCTCAGCATACCTTCAACCTTTCGTTGCCTATCGCCACGCCCCCCTACAGCCGATCTTGGTATATGGGTCGATGCATCAACAGACTGGGGCATCGGACTTCTTCTCGAAGGTCGCTGGGATGCATGGCAAACGCTTCCTACTGCTATCGCGCCTGGGAGGGATATTGGATGGCTCGAAGGGGTTGCTATCGAGCTCATCATTTTGATCCTTCAGGCCTCTCCCCTCTTGCACCAAGACATCCTCATCCGTAGTGATAACGAAGGAGTTATCGGGGCATTCAGGAAGGGATGGTCACACAATCGCGAAACGAATGAGTCAATTAGACGTTCAGGTACCATCCTTGACGATTCAAACCTTTCCTTCACTTTCATATATGTAGACACTCTTTCAAACTTAGCAGACCCCATCTCTCGCAGCATACTCCCGCCATTAGACCAACGCATCACCATTCCCTACTCCTTTCCTTTACCCATATCGTGTCACTTTCGCCATGCCTAAACTTCCAGAGCCATCCCTTGCTGATAAACTTGAACACGTTAATATCAATGCTGAATTAGCTGCTTTCTCCGCTAACGTGAACGCATTATCCCCCTCCCCAATTCTCTCCCAACCAATATCACCTTCTGTTCAAAATCGCATTCCGCGGAAGCCACGTAAAGGGAATACCGTCAAGCCATCCATCTTCCGTCCACCAGTGCTTGCCAGCGAACGACTACAACATTGGACAACTCCCCACTCACTCTCCTTCCGTCATTCTATTTCATCAGCTCTACCAAGCTCTGATCTCTCGCGCCTTTTCGAAGTCATGTCCTTTTCGCTCGATCAAGGTACCAGAGATGGTTACGGTGCTGGGCTCTTACGATTCACACAATATTGCGACCAGGCAGGAATCCCAGAGGCAAATCGCATGCCAGCCTCAGATGTCCTCCTTTCTGTATTCATCGCCACGTTGGGAGCAGGCAAGGTCGCTACTTCCACTGTGGACAATTGGCCTTGCGGGTTTACATTTCTGGCACACCATCAATGGGGCGCCGTGGCATGGTAAGGACATGCTTTCACAGACGCGCAAAGGTGTTACAAAATTAGTTCCAATTTCCTCAAAACGTGCAAAGAGACCTCCAGTCACTATTGAACACCTTTACGCCCTCCGCAAAGGTCTAGATCTCACAAATACATTCGACATAGCTGTGTGGGCAATCGCATGCATTGCCTTCTGGAGTTGTTGCCGGTTGGGCGAGCTCACTATTCCTAGCTCCAATCTTTTTGACCCCATCAAACATGCCGCACGTTCAGCACCTACTTCCTTTAGAACAACAGCTATGGGCACCGAATTTGCAACCTGTCACATTCCGTGGACCAAGACGACTATGCGAGAAGGTGCCGACATCTCCATTACTGCTCGTGCCGATGACCCTTCATGCCCCGTGGCTGCTTTCAAACACCACCTGGCGAACAATACATCCGTCCCAGCCAGCGCTTCTCTATTCGCATATGAAACGGCTGATGGATGTTGGGCCCCCATGACCAAATCTTGGTTTATGGCACGGTGCAACGAAGTGTGGGTTGCGGCTGGTCTACCTGACATGCCAGGTCACGGATTTCGCATTGGTGGTGCTACTCATTTACTTCTCATGGGAACACCCCCAGACATCGTTGCCGTTCAAGGCAGGTGGAAGTTGAGGGCTTTCTTGGAATATTGGCGGAAGATCGAAAGCATCTTACCTTTGTTCCTTTCTAATGCCAACTCGGCATCGCGTTTTTCGCTTATAGAGGATTCTATGAAACAATATCAGAAGAAGTGGAAGCTGTAGAGTCATACCACAATGCGGAGACGTTTGGCTATGTCAATGTCACTGGTTGGTGCGAGGTGTGTCAGAACGGGACGCCGCAGGTGGCCACCCAGATCGCTCCTTTCGCGCCTGTGTCGAATTATTTGTGAGTGATTCGTGATGAGATTGAAAAGTTGGCTAACTCGAGGCCATATAGCTGGTTGAACTCGTTGCACCCTCTTTTCATTGTCCATAAGTATGTCATTTATTTATTTATTTATTCTTGACCCTCTACTGAATGATCATTCGTCCATTGCAGCCAACTGGCCTTATCTATCTCAACCGCTCTGAGCACGTAAGCTCCTTTGAGAATGGAAACTAATGCGTTTTCTCCTTTTTCGGGTGCTACTTGTACGATTCTGCAAGGCGAATGTACATTTCAGGCAGTAACCAAGTGATATGTATCCGCCTGCACGCGTATGCGTTCACGTGAGAGGACGCGTCATCGTCTATTTTTACCTGTGCAAGGCTTTCCCCCTCTACATCAGCACGTAAACTCCTCATGCCGATTACCGAATTCGCGACCCTCAGAATCAAAGAGCCCTATACTCTCCAGGGCGAAGATCTTCACAGCCACTTCCTCACACTGTCGAAATGGCAAGCCGAGTGGTCTTCCTTCCCACAACGTCAACGACCCTTTGTTGGTTTACCTCATCTCGGGGTGGGATAGCGTCGAAGCACATATGAAGTGGATCGCGAGCGAAAGGAACCAGGAGCTGTTGAGAAATTTCACCCCTTTCGTGTCGATCGAGGCATTTGCACATATTGACGTCGACTTCACGAAGATACCAGAAGCAACGCAGGTCTTAGCCTTCAGGAAAGATGAGCATGGAGGAATTGCTGCAGAAGATGATGGGTTGGGCCCCTACTTGTGGACTGGCGAAGGAAGGGATTTGGAGGAGAGTTCGCACGAGATAAGGTAGAGGCCATCAGGAACCAGCTAGCTTATATAATTGTATTATATAAGCGCCAAGGGTGGCAAAATCTCGCTCTCGAAAATTTTCAAAAATTTTGACCCTCGGAATACAAGTCAGAGTACAGTAGAATATTTACTTGGACCCCCCAAACCTCTTTAAGAACTCCTCCTTAAGTTTAGCAACAACAGACGCAGGAAGTGTGCGATGGCCGTGATATTTCCTGTTTGCCCACGCTGCCTCGGGGCCTGTAAGTCCCTGGAAGTATCCGTTGATAAATCGAGCAGCGCGATTGGCATATCTAATCAGCGCGTTAGATCCATTTATTGATGGAAGTGAAAATAAACACTCACCGTTTGATTGAAACATCAGGAACATCGTCGAGGCAGGCAAGTACATTCCTCTCCATCTCCTTTATATCAGTTGTCTTGGGGCTATTCCGATACCGAAGCTTTGCTGCCCCCCAATACTGCTCAATGAAATTGAGTTCACAGTGATATTTTGGGTAGAAGTCACAAATGTGACCGCGGGAAGTGATTAACTCTTCAAGGCGAGACTTCTGATTTACGAAATCGGGCTGTGTGAATAGAAGCCGTCGACAGCAGCAGTCCGTCTTCCCAGGCTCACACTTGAACCCCTCACACTGCGCGTTGAGCCCCCGCTGTGGCCACAGACTGCGCTCCCGGATAATATTCTCCATCCCTTTAAACCAGCCCGGCATGGTGGGGTGATCATCTGGGTAATAGAAGTCTTGGATAGTGCTGTGCTCACCGAAGCAGGTGGTCCTCATCTTTGGGCCATCTTTGTGATGTGTCCATGTTGCATGGGCATTTTTGGGCATTTTCCGAGCAGAGAGGGCATCCATTGCCCGCTTTTGGTGACTCGGTGCATTGTCAAACAGGAAAAGACCAGTTGCAAAGCCATTGGTGAGTCCCTCAAAAATGTCAATAGCATGATCCACTTGACTGATCAGATCGTCATTGTCGAAGTAACCATCCCGATTCTTCCCCGCTCTGAAGAGGATATGTGCCTCGCTTTTTTCACTCGATGATCAACCTTGAGTGGTGGATAATCATTTGAATGTTACTCACTCATCTCCGTCTTTTAGCCGCCCCCAATCAGGTGTTAAGAATTCGGACACCATGATCGATGGCCCCTCTCCTTTTCTCTCCGTTGTCGCCTTTTCTTGGAAGTGGGTCCACTTTGTCTTGCGTCTGTCGTTTTCATAGAACGTTGATTCATCGTGTGTGACCAGGATCAAGCGGAAGCGGCCGATTTGAGGGACAGGGAAGCCAGCTGGTTTAGAGAGTACGTTGCCATCATTGTCATAAATAATGAAATGCTTCTCATATTCCTGCCAGCGTGACACGAATGCTTTCCGATAAGCAACCACATCCTCCCTTTCATGGCCATCAATGTACATGCCATTCCGTTTGCGGGTATATCGCCAGTTCAGCTTCTTCAACCAGCGTCGAGCCGTTCGAACGGTGATTCCTCGTGCCTTCACCCCAAGCCGCTCCTGGACATCCTTTGTGGCAACGTAGTCAACAATGTCCTGTGCCCGGATGTAGCCATCTTTTGCCTTTTCTGTCAAGTGTAGCTGGATATCCCGGGCAAAGTCTTCATCATCGAGGATTGAGGAGTTGTAGGAGCCATATCGGTGAAGGGGCAGTTTCCCAGATTTCAAAAACTGACAGATCCACTTTCGTAGGTTGCGTGCGTGATTGGGTCCTCGTCCTGCAGCTTTTGCTGCAATCAGGGAAGCCTCCCGCCATGTATATGAGAGCTGTGAATCGAGATAAAGATTCAATGTCGCAACCATCCCTGTAATTCGGCTTCGGAAGAACACATCAAGCTTCTTGTCTTTGCTCTTGACGGTGAGTTTTGCGAGTGCACGACGCAGCATAGGAAAGTCCTTGTAGCATAATCCATTCAACAGGACATCAGTCCTTGTCTCAGGGCTGTCATCTGAAGGGCGACATCCATTCCGCAACTGCTTCAGGTTCCTCCTTTGCAGATCTCACTCGTGTGTCACTCTGGGTGCCTGTAGTGTCATGCAACGGCCCCGGGTTCATCTAGTCTTGTTGGTTAGTCCTCGATTAAGCTTTTGACATGCATCTGGACTGACTTCATTGCTCAATTCATCTCTTTCAGGGAAGAGCCGGCCCATGCTTGCCTCAACATCTTCGGTGGGTGGGTCTTCAGGTGATGAGTCTGAGTCTGAACCAGATTCATCCTCGGAGACCGTCTTTTTGGCTACTGTGAACCAGGAATTAATAAATTGTTGTCCAGCTGCTGCTAACTTCTTCCGATTGAAGGCATGGAGCCGCTGGCTTCGTTTCGAGTTCCCAGTGTAGTGCTTTGGGCGGTTGGGCTTATCAGCTGCTGCTTCACGTTCAGCCTTTACAGCAAGAGCTTGAGCTTCACAGAGAACAGCTGCGAACTGATGAATGTCGCTCTCATTCTTCAGCCCCTCTAGTTCTTCCTCATCAACCTCCACCTCCTCCTCATCCTCTGGGTCCCAGTCCGAGTCTGAATCCAAGTCTTCATCCAGGAAGAAGAAGCCTTCTTCGAGGAGTGGCTGCCTGTTGCTGGTAGGGATGTAATCTTCATCTTCTGACTCGCTCACATCTTCTACAGTGGGTTTATAGGACCTTCTAGGGTGGTTGAGGTTCCCAAGACGTGCAGTAGTTGCTTTGGAGTGTCGGCCCATGTCTGAATGTGCAGAGAATGGTTATTTTGTTGCCATTTTGTGGCAGTTTGTGGCCTTTCCTCCTCCCCCTAAGTCATGTGTATGCATTATGTAAGCGGCAAAATCCACCGCGTCGCATTTTCAAAAAGAATATTGCCTTTACGAAAATGGGTTTTATTGCATTTACTACACTTTTCATGGTCAAATTTTTGGACCCTTATTTCTTGGCCCCAAAGCAAAAATTCAAATTATTTTTTCCAGGGATCTCTTCTTTGGAATGTATTTTACAAGTCTTAGCACTATGATGGGGAATTAATTCAGTGTTGAGGCTGCAATTCGAGGCGACATTGCAAAGGTTTTTGGATTACATAAGCTAGCTGGTTCCTGATGGCCTCTACCTTATATCGCATTTGGGCGTACGGCGGGATTGAAGCGAACGCCGTTTGAAAAGGCATGAGCGAAACCCAGCTTCTTCGCCGCATCAATCCCGTATAGAATCAAACTTTCGGTGAGTGTAATTTGCCTCTGGTAGATCTGATAGGTATCTCAAACTTCACCCTTCAAGGTGAATCTAGCTGGAAAGTGATGAGGACCCGGCACAGCAATAACCGGTGACCAACAATGAGTTATGGCGAAAGATACCATTGAAGAACCCTTCTTCCCTGGATATTTATAGGGATCCTGATAGACGGTAATTACATTGCCATTGAACTTCTCCATCCAACGCCACGTCTCGAGCTTCGGGTTCCGAGCTTAAGCGGTTATTGGTGCCCACCTCGCCCTTTTGCTCAGCATTGCCTCGGTTTCAGGAAACCAAGCACATTTGGTGTATATACGACTTGCCCGCATCTACTCGTACCTTCAAATGGCTCCAAGCCACCAGGCCCCTGTTGATGGCCCTGTGGAAATAATAGGCGCCCATCGTTGCCGATTCCCACGCCACATTGCCGACGATAGATCGTTTGATTCCCTAGAACCTTGAGCAAACGGAAGTCGCGAGACCACATGCCCTCCCAGAGCATGAGAACTCTCACCTTTACCGCGCTTTACATCCGCGGTGGCTAATCGCCACGACAACTCCCCTGCGCCCGACCTATCTTCGTTGATGTCGTCAATCACGGAATGCCCCTCTTCTCGACGGGGGCACATCGAGCAGCTCATCCCAGCCCTACTCTTCCTTGTGTAGATATTCGCTCATTTTCTGCGTGCACCCTCGTGCCCCACACCCTGAGAATCGACCCTATCTCGTTATATGCGTTACTGCGACTGTAATTAGAGTCACACGAAGAAAAGAAGTCGGAAGGAGTCATGAGGAACAATAGGCTCGAATTCGGTGGATCTTATGACTAGAATCCTGCGGACGTGAGCCTAATTCTATACTTGCCGTTGTTGGGGTGGAATCGCGGTCTGGGTAGATAAATAGCCTCAAGTTCTGCACACCTCTACTTCTATCCCCCCCTCTCCTCTGTATTTGATCTTTCGTTCCCATACTCTTGATATTGAACATCCACTAAACAAACCTTTATGTTATTATAATCTGAACGTGGATCTTGCCGCTACTGTGCAGGTAAGGTCTCCTTGCCCAATACCTGAACGCAGGCATGATGGACTGAAAATCACCTGTTCCCTAGGCATAACGCACCAGCGGCCAGTCGCCTCCATGACCGAGCCGGATACTCAATTACAAGTGAATGTTTCCAGAATACCTCCTTGTTCACTACTTACAAACCTGTTCCCTCATGGCACTAACAGGATATAACGGTCGGCTCGGGCACTGACATGTGTTGGTATCATGCCGTTCTCGAAGAACAGACGCCCGCGCAGTTTCCTTCTCAACTAGAAAATCGGGCCCAACGAGACTTAATCGCAATAGAAGCGCTTCGGGTTGGTCCAATTGATATTCTAGCACCGTTGGCGCTTCCTCCCGATTTCCCCCCTTATGTTGACTCGATCCGCGCTGAAATATTCTCGCAAAAAATGACGCCTCTCCAAGAAAATTCTACCATGAGCACCACCGAAATGCTAGAATTATTTCGGCGTCAAGTTATTTCAGCGTATGGGGGAAATTTGGAGAAAGCGCCGACGATGTTCTCTTACTCAAGAGTCGCCAACTTTCGCCATCCTATTCAATTCGGCGTTTCCGCACCTCGCCGTGCCGGCTCGAGCTCTAAGGGCAGAGTGCGGATCGCAAATCAAGTTAGAGCGTATCGCGTTCGCCAATGCTGGGGAGAGTCCTCGCCGAGGCCACCCCCAGAGCGAGAAGGATGGAGACATGGGCAGTGCGCGGAAAATCAATCTCTCCCTTCCATCGTCGAGCAATGCGAGGCATTAGGGCTTGAAGACGTGGTTATTGATACCCTGTCCCTGCGCAAGTCAGGGGGCTTCGTCAGTATGTGCAGGAATTGCCAATCTTTCGTGTCTGGCTCTGTCCTTCGCAAACATCCTACATGGAAAGTCCGTGATGTCCACACCGGGAAGATTTTTTGCTCCTAGTAGGGTTTGTAAGTTAGCTACCATTCGTAGTACATACCTACTTATCATATCGTTGCTTGGACGTTCATGGCTTGTAACTTAGCGGCACGTCGGGCCGCCGCGTCCTTGTTTGGTGACGCCCAGCCACCACAAACAACATTTTGCATCTTTCTTGCGACCAGCATCGAGCCTGAGGCGCGTCGCGTCACTTTCATCCTATGTCTCCAAAATCGCCGAAGCCTGACTCAACAGAGAAACCAACGCCATCGATACCTAATGGTGGGCTAACACGAAAACAACGACGAGCACAAGAAGCTTTAGCAAAACGCGCCGCCGGGAAGCAAGCAGCGGTGAGCGCTAGTGGATCGTCGACCCCCAGGCTGAAGGAAGGAGAAGAGCCACTAACGAAGCCGCTGTCGAATGGTACTGCCGTGAATGGGACCGAGGTCGATCCGTCTTCTTCGACGTTCGGCGACGAGTACATCGCATTTAGGTTTTCTGAGTCGGAAGACGACGCTGGGCCGAGCACAGCGGGCTATGCGGATATCAAGGGCAAAGGGAAGGAGGTAACTGGGCATGACAGGGATAGGCGTGAGCAGAATGGCGATCGGGATGCTACGAGCAGCAGTCGGAGGAAAGGCAGGGAGCGGGATGATAGAAGTTCGCCTCCTCCCACCGAACGCCGCAGAGAGAAGGAGAAACCGAGTTCGTCGCGGTCGGAGAGAGAGAGGGATCGGGGAAAGGAGCGGTACGACGATGAGAGGCGGAATGGGAGGGGTCATAAACGCAGACACGCTGAATACGATGAGGACGATGGGTACGGAAACAAGAAGCAAAGAATGGATGCCGCGTCGAAGAAATGTCCATGGGTTAATGGACCTGAATTGGAGAGATGCCAGAACGTGGCTGAAATGTATGTGGTTTTCGTTCCGTTTAATCTCTGCTTGCTTAGCCCCGGCGCTTAGGATGCACAAGGAGGTCGAATCCTTCGTTGACTGGATATCTCCTTCAGCTACCGAAGACGAAATACGTGGGCTCATCGTCGCCCAAGTCTCGAAGATTGTCAAAAGCGCGTTCCCTGACGCTGAGATACATCCTTTCGGCAGCTACCAGACGAAGCTCTACTTACCGTTAGGGTAGGTGTCCCTTCCTGCCTTGTGAACGCCTTTATTTCACGCACTAATAGGTGCACAGTGATATCGACCTGGTGGTCCTCTCCAACTCGATGGCATATAGCGATAAATCTACGGTCCTGCACGCTCTTGCTAATGCACTGAAGCGCGGTGGTGTTACGTCGCACGTCACCATCATCGCAAAAGCAAAAGTGCCTATCGTCAAATTTGTCACGAACCATGGACGATTTAAAGTGGACATTAGCATCAACCAGGCGAACGGGCTCTTCTCTGGCGAGATCATCAAGGGGTTTTTGAGAGACTTGATTCCATGCCCGGCAAACCAGGAGAGCAGGGCCCTCCGAAGTCTTGTTATGGTCACGAAGGCGTTCCTCAGTCAACGGAGCATGAACGAGGTGTACACAGGCGGTTTGGGCAGCTACAGCATCGTCTGTCTGGCTGTAAGTTTCTTGCAGATGCATCCAAAGATCAGGAGAGGCGAGATTGACCCGGAGAAGAATCTTGGAGTTCTGGTGATGGAGTTCTTTGAGCTGTATGGGCACTACTTTAACTATGACGAAGTTGGCATATCGCTGCGCGAGGGTGGCACATATTTCAACAAGAGGCAGAGAGGATGGCACGCTGAATACAAGAGGAATATGTTGTCGATTGAAGACCCTGCCGACCCTTGTATGTTATGTCGCTTTCATCAGAGTTGTGTTGCTAACTCGGATTCTAGCTAACGATATCTCAAGCGGTTCTTATAATTTCCACAAAGTGCGGACGGCATTCGCAGGTGCCCACGGAATATTGACGGCTACTGCCTATCTCCGGGCAAGTATGCTCAGCTCTCGGCACCATGGACGTTCTGTCCATCTCAGATCCCATTATGAACCCGAGGACTTGAGTATTCTGTCGACTGTTATGGGCATCACACAGGAGGTGTGTTTCAGCGATAGATGAATTCTATTGTGTTTACTGATATCTCTGATTGGTAGACAATCAATCATCGACGACTTGTACAGGAGCTATATGATCGTCGGACTCTGCATAACACCCTTGGGGTCAAACCTAAACCCGCCGTCGTCGATGACCACAGCTCACGGCGGGGTGATCACGAAGAGGAGTCATCTTCAAGGTCGAAGGCGTCTCGTGCTGTAGATTCTGCTTGGGAAGACGCACGCGAGGATGTCCAGTCGGAACATAGAGAGCATTCACTGGACGACTATGACGAAGAAGGCCGGTATGCCATTGGTCGGCAGCCTCCGAAGAAACGTCGGAAGACGGGTCGCGCGTCGGATGCCCACACTGTGGTTTTCATTGATGATTTTGAGGAGGACGAAGTTGAGGAGGGCGAGTACATGAGTGACAAGCTTGATGCCGATGCCGTGGGTCGGCCATCACAGCCCCGGGCAGCTGGTAAAAGCCCCAAGAACGATGAACGACGGTCGTACTGGCTTTCTAAAGGCAATGGTACTTTTGAAAGCGACACTGACTAGATGTACACGTCGATTTGTATTTTTGGGCGCTCTTGACAGGAAAAACTGCTATTTTGAGGAGGGATCCTGTGAATCTCCAGGACAACGGAGCCAAACATCAGAATTTGATCAAGGCTTGGGTTTTACCTCAGGCGAGCAGAACAGCACTCTGTGTTCGTCCTCCCCGTCGGCGGCATCCTCTCCAGCGCTCTTGCCCTCGTTCGCTCGTTGCGTATCCGCAAATCTCTCATTTTTTCTCTTCTTTCTTTATCCCACATCGAGCGGGTTTCGTCTTCAAGTGCTGGTCCGCTGAGTAGACACCTGTCAACCACTATTATCCGTCGTCCCACTGCCTGCAAAAATGTTAGTCATTTCCGCTTGGAAGCCCTCCTGTGCCAACTGACCCCCTGTTTTCCGTAAAAAGGTCTAGTTCGCGAATTGTAGTCCCACCTACGAACCTCAAAGAACGTATCGCGGCCCTCGAACAACGAAATGCTGCAAATACGGGCACAGATACGCGCCCTACCTCCCCAACTCCAAGCGTAGCCTCAAGCGTTGGTGGACCTCCACAGGTTGCAGGTGCCCTGCGTGACAAGATCGCGAAATTCGAACGGAAAGGCGGCGTACCTGTTCCTCGGGGGAGATTCGGGTTGGGTGCACCACCAACACAAGGGGGTCCACGACGGCAGGGAGAATTCTACGGCAATCGCATCTCAGGACCTGCCAGGTCGGTTAGCGGCAGTGTTATGCCTAGTCGCTCCACTTCGCCTGCGCCAACGTCGGCTGCAGGTTCACGACCTCCTTCCCCTGGCCCATTCTCCAGCGATCCACGACGCTCTTTCTCCCTTTCAGGTGTCATGAGTGATGACGAAGGTGTCGAATACTCGCCCATCAGCTCTCCAACATTCGCTTTCCCGCTGGAATCGCCAGAATCGGCACTTTCTGCGACATATACACCTGAAGCATCACCGTCTTCCCTATCCACCGCAGGCGACCCTGCGACCTTCAAACCGGCATTTGTTCGTGGTACATCCTTTCAGAAGGCGCTGGAGGTTGCTCGGAATGCAGAAAGTGCGAAATTCGAGTCGCAGAGGCCGGAATCACTATTCCTCGAGCGACAAGTGACCGGCGGGCGTACATGGGCGGAGTCGTTTCTCCCAAAGGTGCAGGAGCAAGTGCAGGAGGCTCCGAAAGAGCAACCGGAGAAACACGAACCAGCAAAGGCGGAGATAGAGACGCAGGTGCCCGCGGAGGTCGCAGAGAAACCGTTATCGCTAGCAGAAGAACCGGAGACTAAAGCACCTAAGGAGGTTCAAGAGAAGCACGAGCCTACGAAGGTGGAGGAGCCAACCCAAGAGCCGGCCAAATTTGAAGTGGAGGCACATGAAGTGACAACGGTGCAGCCGCCGGTTATTGAGGTCGCGAAAGCAGAAGCCCAGATCCAGGAGCCTGCTAAAGTGAACGGACATACGGAAGATCCTACGACGCCCAAAGCCCAACCGCCTCTCGACGACGTCAAAGTCGAAGTCGAAGCACCCGAGACTACACCTGTTATCATCGTCTCTTCTGACGATTCTACTCCCGTGGTTGTCCGCGATCCACCTATTGAGGAAGCGCCGCCACCAACATCTCCCGTCGTAGAACTGGTCAAGCCAGAAATTCAGGCAGAGAAGGTAGTCAGCCTGCCCTCAACCTCTCCAGAACCAATCATCACTGTGTCCGTCCATTCTGAGCCACCCGTTGCAAAGCCGGCCCTTGTTGAAGCTCCACCGACTTCGACCGAGCCTGCCTTCGTGAACCCAGCGATTGTCGATGTTGTTCCGTTGATCATCCGCAAACGGTCTCCTACCAATCCAGTGCCTGTGACGACCGAGGCAAAGGAGGAGCCTCTACTGACCGCAGAACCACTTCCGAAGATTGAGGCGGTACCTGTGCCTTTGGTCGTTGTACGGCCTGCATCTGTGGAACCCCAGCCTCTTGAAAGCAAAACACTGCCTGCAATCGTTGAGCCACCGAAAGATCAGCCAGTTGAGCGAATTGCCACCGAAACTCAGTCTAGCGCATCGCCTCCTGACATTGTTGTTGCCAAAGAGGCTGCTGAAGGCAAAGCGTCTTCGGACAACAAGGCAGATGCTGTTGGACGCAACAAGGCAGCCCTAACGCTGGATGCTGAACGGCTGGCCGACGACTCGTTGATGTCGCCACCTATAGCCACAGGCAACATGACGGCAATGTCGTTGACTGATGTCCTTAGCAATTACTTTACAGGTGGGGGCGGTCCTAACGACTCTTTCCGCACCACAACACCCCTGCCTGTTCCTGGTGTTCGCAGTCCACTATCGCCTGCAGCTACCCTCGCCTACGACGTTCTGGAAACCCCACCTCCTGCCAGACCAGCGGCGGTCAAAGTTCCTGATCCTCGCTCGTTCCTTTCTCCTCCTTTTAGTGGTTTCCTATCTGGGGTACCTTCCTCAGGCAATTCATCCTTTGGGTCGATCGGTTCACGTCCAATGAGCATGATTGAAACGAGTCCTGGCCAGGTTGCTCGAGCGCTCAGGATGACACCTGCAACGAGTCGCGGCGTTCCAATGTTCCTCCCTCCCAGCAGCTCGCAACCACGCAAGTCAGACTTCGTTTACTTCCCTCCCACACCACCTGATGCCGAGGTGACGGAATTTGGCTCTGTCATCTTCGACTCGGAGCGTCGGCGTCGTGGATCGGAGCCTGATCTGGCCAACCTGAGTATGAAACCCGCGTCGTTCAGTGCGGTAGTGCACGGTAAGGTGAGAGAGACACCTGCATCTGCCACGATGCCTTTGTCTGGTATACGAAAGTTGCCTGCCACTCCGGCGATGAAGAGGGTCAAGCGAGCGACTATCTTGGAACCCCCATTGAGTCCTGGGCAGGGTGAATTAGTAGCATTGATCCAAGAGGCGGTTTTGTTGGAGGATGCGCTGGATAAGGGCGAGCTTCCTAGCGAGGTTCCGCGTATCTTAGAGGAGGATGAGCAGACTTTAAAGGCAGAGGAGGAAGCTGCAGTGCTAGCAGCGGCCAAGGTTCAGGAGGGTGCTGAACGTCAACGAATAGCTGCTGCAGCCGCCCAACTGAGGGCGAAGCGAGATCTGCCTACAGCCGGAAGGCTGAAGCACACATTCCTCGTCCCTTTGTCCAAGGCAAGATCGATGCACCATCGCAAGGAGACATCGAGTTCGGCTGCGAATACCCTCCGGCCTGAAGAACCCATCATTCGTCCCAAATCTGCTGGAGTGGTTGAGCAATCCGGATCTCGTTCTGCCAGAGCTGATTTTGCGACCACGCAAAAGATGCCTGTTCCACCTCGACCTCGGACGCCATCCGACAATTCTGCTACGCCGGCTGCTGTCGCCCTTCCTCAGGCCCCTCCACCGCCGAAATCTCCCAAGTCAACCAGGTTTGCCACATTCCGGAGACTGGGCAGTATCACAGCGCGACCGAACACTGTCCATGGTGCCATCAATCGCACGAGCAACTCGACGTCATCTGAGATCTCGTCAGAGGACTCGGCCCTTGCTGTCACGCCTCCAGAAAACAATCTGGAGTTCGGTTTGCGCGTGTCGCCAGTGAGCGAGTCGAGCCATGGACATTCTTCGCATCATGGACATGCGCAGAAGAACTCGATGTCGTTCCCGTCGCTGAGCCCGAAGAAGAGCTCGAGTAGTGTCAGCCGAGCTACGTCGTTTGCGGAGAAGATGTGGTCGAGGGCGAGGACAAAATCGAATGGAAGTGTGTTGAGTTCGACGAGTACTGGTACGTTCGATTGTTGCTGTTTCTCATTCCTGGGCCCTAAATAACTTCAATAGATCGTACGCACGACGAAGGTGCTCCAAGGTTGCCTGCTTTTGGACCTCCTCCGGCTATCCAGCTGCCACCTTCTCTGACTTCAAGTTCAGCTTCAACCTCTCAGGAGGATGTCAGAGTATTGCACCCCCCGAAGAGATCAACATCCCTGAAACATCCTTCCGATCTTCCTCCAATTCCAGTTTCTCCTCCGCCTCCGCTGCCCACAGTAACGTCCACCTCCTACAACAAACAAGCTCCAATTCAACCTTCCGATCTCTCCAACGACTCCTTACTACTTTCTCCCTCGAAAGACAACACTCGCCCGTCCTCTTGGACGTCGGTTTCTTCGGCAGGCTCTTTGCCATCGCCTCTCTTTGACAAGGCACTTTTCGATGCCTTCCCGTCGGTGCCAGGCACAACGCCCACACCTATGACTGCTTTCCGCCCACATCAGCGCGAGACGAGTCTGGGCTCAGCAGCTAACGCTGCATCTTCGTTTGATTCTGCTCTCCTTTCCTCTGCTATCCATCTTGCATCGTCGCATAAATCGACAGCCACGCCTCCAACTACATATCAGCCCTTCCCTTCTGCTACCCGAGTACCTGCGACGGCGACGTATGCGCCGCGTAGATCGGGTGAGACGGCTCGTTAACGCCTCTTTCGTTACCAGTTTCTTGATCAGTTCATTCCGTTGAAAGGCGGTTTCTAACATATACCAATATCGTACGTTCTCTCCCATAGTTCCATATGCTAGTACCTGCCTGCTTTCAACTTTGCTTGACACCTCTTCCTCGTATAATGAACATCACACCTCTCGCTTTTATCGCTGCGATTCAATTTATTCACCATCTTGGGTACCTGAAACGCGTGCTTTTATTTGCTTTCCTTATGTAACATAATTATTGTTCTTCAAGCTTCCGAATTGCCGACCAAATTCAAAGCTTGAAGGCACACCACTTTGCGAAGACACATATAATCTCGGCTCAAGCTGAGCTAAAGGACTTCAGCGATAGAACACGTGCATATCAACAAAGTTCTTTATTGACGCCGAAGTGTGAATTCCGTCGGCTGGACTTTTCTCCAAACATTATCACAACACATGTTCTGTTCTCTCAACAACCCCGCAGTTTCTCTCTGCGTCTACTATTCGTCGATCTGGATGGACTGAAGCGCGTAATCCATGGCCTTGGATCAGAATGATCCCGGACTGGAGGAGGGGGATGACTGTGTTTCTGAGGTTTGTCTCCTTCCACGAAAATGACGTGACGGTACTGAAATATTGCCGTAGTCTGAGTCGTTTTACGCCGGCGATATAAGTGAGCTCATCGTGGAGTATTCTACACCTCCACAGCCTAGTACGAGATTCTCTATTGTGGAATAGCTTGGCGTAAGATCGATTGACAAGCCTGCAGTCCCTCCTACGCAATCGGATTCGGGGTCCAGCAAGAAAAGCACGTCAAGCTCTGACTTCTCAGCAAACCTTGGGAAACGCAAGACAAGTGCCCTATCGGCATCCAGCAATGACTTTTCCGAGGCGCCACTCTCCAAGAAGCCAAAACCCAATCCTGTGTCGATATCTGAGCACACGACCCTTGCTTCATCCCCGGTTTTGATCGTAAGAAGTGGCATTTCACTATAGCCTGGCTTGACTGATATAATTTATCCTTTCAGGTTCATTGCCCCACAGTCCAACGGCTGTTTGAGAAAATGAAAATATGTCGTGGCGTTCAGTATGAGCTCGCTCGCCTGGTTTCGTCTGAAAGACTCTCCTACAATGATATCACACCGGATAAGCTTAAAAAACTTGTCGGTTGCAACAAAATATCTGCACCGCAAGTTGAGGAGGTCTTTTACAGTAAGTCGACAGCTCAGCCAACTAATTCTGCCTTCGCACGGGAGATAGCGTCAAAAGTCAGTACTTACCATCTCATACTCGTATTATGCTTACCTTGTCTTTCAGTCACCTTGGGAGGAACTTGATCGGGAAGAGGCTGCTCTGGCTAACGGCCCATATGAAGGCCTTGGCAACAATCCCAATCAACCTGACTGGTACGGAGGGAAGGTCGAGTTTCGTGGACGTTTGTCTCAACAAGACGGCAACGTCGGCTACAAGATCACCCTCGAAAGTTGCTGCCTTGGTGCCTCATCACGCTTCACGAGGCGTTTCGGGTCCTGGTCATTTTTGCGCGTCAAAATACCTACACAAATCTTTTTCTCCCACAATGATCTAGAACGGTTCTTCCAAAGGAGCTTTGTGATATGGGGGAAGGTGTTTCGGGCATGTTATGCGAAGGATGACAACGTCTTTTTCTACTGGACTAATGAGATTTATCCGATGGGGAAACCCTTGCTGAACAGGATGTCGTTTCATGACTTTATCATGTGGCATAATCCGCTGCAACAGAACTCGAATCAAGTAAGTTTTCAAGGTCAATCGTTCTGATGAAATCACTCTCATGGGTTTTGAAGCTTATGACGAAGTGGGCTGCCCGGCTCCCTCTGGGGTTTTCAAATTCACTCCCAGGACCTCGCTTGCTGCAAGAAAACATATTGCCAGAGGAGGATGTTGGTATGTTGACTTTCGTTTCTTCTTTTAACTGCTACTGACAACCGGGGCTCAGTATCTTCCAAAAAGTCGGATATGACTGACGGCTGCGGTCTCACAACTCAAAGTGTCCATCGGTCCATTTGGTATCAGTTGTCCTTGCCGCTGATGCCTACGGCATTCCAGTTCCGTCTTGCAGGTTCTAAGGTGGAATATGCCCCTCGTCAAGCCTTGCTATCTTTACTCATCCTTATCCCTAGGGCATGTCAATTTTCCGCGATGAAATTTCCCTCAGCGACAGCGCAATGCGAGGTTGGTTCCGCCCCTCTCAGACAAAGATCAGGTACCCCCCTGGCCTCCAACTGGATCCTGCCATGCTTACGTTCGACCTGCTCCGCACATCGCACATGCGATCCCCATCCCGCCTTTCGACGGAAACTATTATCAACCTGGCCGAGAACGGTGTTCCTCACAGCAGATTCGTCGACCTCCTCAAGGCCACCCTTCGCGAAATGGTCAAAGGGCTCACAACTTGGGATGGCCTGATGCGATGTTCAACCTCTGGATCAATCTCGAGCGTATCGGTGGTGTCATAGCTGGTCGTCGGACACGGGAGGTTGCTGGCGAAGCCAGGGTCCGTGGTTACAACAGCCGCTCGCCAGAGAACCAGGAGCTTGATGATGAGAATGACGAGGACGAAGATGGTTGTGGGTCGGAGAATACCTCTGCGCTGCGTTCTGTTGCTTGGTGGGCGGATCAGATCTCTGGGTGTCCTTCAACCCTGGAAGAGACTGCAATAGTCCTTCTGGATGCCGGGTTCACACCTCAAGAATGTCCTGTCCTTAGAGAGAAGATCAAGAAAGTTGTTACGACTAAAGTAGAGAATAGGACGCACAACCTCAAGTTTGACCTCGAGTACAGTTGCACTGCTTTTGCTGTTCCAGGTCAGAAACTTTCTACTGCGTTTACTCTCAGGTTTTCTGAACTTTTACGATAGATCCTTTTGGTGTTCTGGGGCCCAATGAAGTTCACATTAAGAGCTCTCGGAGGAACCTTAAAACAGAAGATGGAATGATGACGGATATAATCGTTGGGGATGTTCTGGTACGGTACTCCCTTCGAAATAATACGGCTACCTTGCATCTAACGCGACCTCTTAGCTTACACGAAGCCCCTGTAAGATGCCTATCGATGTCCAGAAGGTATGACAAATGCTCTCAAATGGCTTTCATGTTTGTTAAGAAGTTTCTTCAATGAACGCAGGCCAAGGCAGTCGAACACCCGCTGCTTCGCAACTATGTCGATGTCATCGTTTTCTCCATCCAAGGTCTTCGACGACTGATTGACTTGCTTGGAGGAGGTTTGTCGATCGCTTAGTCTCAAGTAACACGAAGCTAATTCCATGAATAGGTGACTACGACGGCGATGTTATTCTTGCGATATGGCAGAGCCTATTGGTTGAGCCTTTCCAGAACACCGAGGACAAGCATACTCCGGAATCTCTTCATTTGGACATAGCTTTCACCCGCGATACAGAGACCGGGCAAGCTTTCTTGGAGCGGGTACAAACATATGAACCAGAGAAGATGATTCAAGCTATGCAACACTACCTACTTGGTGGCCTTCGTGACACGTCCCTTGTAGGAAAGTATTCTACTATGCATACTAATGCCATCTACGAACTTGGCTATCATAATCCAAGGACCATAAAGCTTGCGTATAAGTGAGTACTTATTATGAATGCTTTCCTTGTTCTCACCCGTTATCATTGGTGGAGCATAGATTCTGCCGCGTCCTCGATGCACCGAAAACTGGGTGGAGAATAAAGTCTAAAACGCTGGAGGAGGATCTTCGCACCTACCATTCCACTCGTGGCCCCGAATGGAAGATATCCAAAGACACCAAGAAATCTAAACACACTGCCGACACCAGAAACTTGCCCGTTCTCAAACGCGATGAACGCTCAGAGTTTGCCAAAGGCAGATTTATCATGGACACTCTAATGCGAGCTGCCAAGAAAGAGAGGGATCGTCTCTTGGCCGAAATGGAGACTTTCTTCAAAGATGAACGTAACACGACTCGACCTGATCCTGTCCTACTCCAACCATGGAACAACGCTGAGGCCTGGGCAGCAACCGGGTGCCCGCACTCAGTTGCGGAGAAGAAGGCAGACCTGGAGAAGATCAAGAACCATGTCCACAAGATCTATAAAAAAGAAAGAGACCGCCTCAGCGCCAGTGCCAAGGGCTCTTTTACCTCCTTGTCGATTGAAGTTCGCCAGGACATCCTCCGTGCACTGTCGAAAGAGTTCGCCTCCTACCCTGACATGGCCGATGTGCCCAGCATTCCTGATTCCGCTACCCTCGCCCGCTTCCGTGCCTCATATGCATATAAGTACGATATGCATGAGCAGAAGAACAGAGAAGGCTGGAGCCGCTTTCCTTGGAACGTTGCTTTGAGGGAACTCTGTGCGATCAAGGCAGCTACCGACCCTTACAAGGTGGTTACAAACGAATTTTATGAAAGATTCAAGTTGACGCAACGTCGTTGATATTTGTACACAGGTAGGATACATCTTCTCGTCCTCGTTAGCCTCTCCAATTGGACAATCTCTTATATCTATGACACCATTCAAGTTCTTCCTTGGGCCAACTCATGCATGTACTACCTATAATCAAACGTTCAATTTGTACTACTATTCTTGTGGAATGTATGTTATTTCTATCCTTTTCTCCCTCCTGCTTTTACGGAGGTTTCCTGTATTTAAATAATCTTCGAAGACCCTATTGGTAGTGTCTTCACACGGTGTAACTTTAAGCAAGTTAGATTGTCATGCACTCTTCAACTCCATCACTGACCTCAGGCTCGATCTATGGGGCGTATCGCACGGTCTGCACGGCCCTCGGCCAGTGGAGCGATTATATTTTATGGCAGGCCCCCGTCCACCCCCCTATCCAACGATGTACACAGGATGCAAAGACGCCCTGAAGAGAGACAGCCTATAGACGACCCCCCGTCGGCGAAATCAGCTTTCCCTGATCACCTTGTGGTCCTTCCTCCTGACTTGGAAACTCGAGGAAGAGCAACCATTGTTGGCATATTGCGTCTTGTTCGGGACGTCTCAGAGGCACTCGACAGCATACCGTATGTCAGAATCATAGCTGGCCTTGTTCAACAAATAGTGATCATAGCAGATGTACGACATCTTCCTATATCATCTGCTATGATACACGGGCAGATTTCGTATTCAAGGTCAGGGATGACCTCAGGAGGTTCAATCCAACAAGGACAGGAGCCAAGAGCTTGTCAGTAAAGTCACCATCTACTCCAAAGTCGTTTTCGATGCGCTATCGACCTTCGAGAAGTGTGTTTCCGACTTGGACCTCAGGAATCTTGAAGATGATTTAGCAGGGATAGCAAAGTTAGTCTGGCTCTTTGACATTTTTGAACAGAATTGACATGGGCCTACTTTTTTCAGGCCATCTACGAAATACTACAATCCACAGAGTCTCCCAAAGGCACCAACTTAAGTCGTTTTCGTCGGGTAATATATCGCGATGATATCGCAAGCAAGATAGCAGAACAAGATCGTAGGCTCGACACGACTATAACTGCATTTCAGGTGAGTTATGCCGTTGTGTATTTGAAGCCATTGTCATAAATGCCTACAATATCATATAGTTAAAATCGTCTATCGTGCTTCGCTCTAAGTCCCCGCTGTCCACAAATGTGAGTCCTGTTTTTCGCAATATTGCCAGTGGGATATCCAATATGCCCTCAATGTAGCCAGCCAGCAAAGTTCTCTACAAAGTGCCAATTCCCTCTCGACGGCAGGTGCGCCTGCGAGGAAAGCCTCAAATTGTGTTTGGGCGAACGCACGAGATTGATGCTATTGTGGAAGCCCTGCAGCGATCCTTTGCATATCAACATGTCTGCATCCTTGGCGCCGGAGGAATGGGTAAAACAACCCTTGCACTTTCTGTGCTTCACGACGAACGCATTGGCAACCTCTACGGTGAAAGGTTTTTTGTGTCCTGTGAAGCTGCCACATCGCCAGATCTGCTGCTCAGCGAAATTGCGACGGTGTTAGAACTCTCGGAACATGCGAAGGACGACGTCTTGCAATGCATCAAGGATAGGCTAACTCGTGGTCCAGGAGGACAAAGAATACTCCTCTGTCTGGATAATTTCGAAACACCTTGGGATCCCTTGTCGACTCGATCCGAGGTGGAAGGGCTTCTGACAGAGCTGGCCTCACCTTGGAATGTGGCGAATAGTAACAATGCGGGGCTCCCAATATCCAATGGGCACGCAATGGGTGAAAGCCATATCTCCCCTCCAACCCATCGACGTGCAATCTGCTATCTCGACCTTTACAGCCATTGCGGGCGAAGCAGATCAGTTTGCAATTAAACTCATGAAGGCCGTGGACTGCGTCCCTTTGGCGGTTACTCTCATTGCCAACCTTGCCGCGGTCGATGGCGAGACCACGGAGGCGCTGTGGGGCCGTTGGGAGGAAGAGAGGACTGCGATGGTTGAGAGCGGCCAGGATCGGCTGGCAAGTCTAGACACCTCGGTACAGCTCTCGCTCAATAGCCCTCGAATGCAGCGCGAGCCATGCGCGTTGCAATTTTTGAGCGCCATCTCGATGTTACCCGATGGAGTGTCCCCTGGTATTCTTCGTGAATGGGAGAAGGGTTTTCCAGGACTACCCTCCATCAAGAAGGCAGTTTCTATCCTCCGACAGAACGCTTTGGTTTACGAAGACAGCGAACAGAACCTTCGCGTTTTAAGCCCAATACGATTGTATATCTTGGGCCACTATCCCCCTCCCACACAATCACGACAATTCATCTGCGATTACTACACTAATTTAGCTCTGCAGGGCTCGCTCCATCACGACCTAACAATTGGCTCGCACCTACAGCGAGAGGTTGGGAATGTAACTACTATTTTATTGGATCTATTGGAATCATCAAACCTCGAACAACTTCCAGACATCATCAATGCGGTGGTCCAATTTTGCCACTATACGTATACCACTGGGAATGGGTCGACACAAGCTATCACCCGAGCAGTTGAGAAGCTCAAGGATATTCAAGAAACCGAGAAGCTCATGGTCGCCACGACAGTGCCACCTGCCTCTGTCAAGCAAGTGGGACAGAGATGGTTCAGCTTGTTCAAGTGGAAGTCCGGCAAGAACACGCCTGTTGCGAATCTGATACAGAAAAGTGGACAAATTCCCTCTTCAGCGACCATGGAAATGACAATTAAATTACGTGCCGATTGCCTAGGGTGCTGGGGACAACTTCTGAGTCGTCGATCTGAATTCGGCCTCGCACAGGAGAAATTCGAAGAGGCACAAAAGCTCCATGTCGCTGCCGGGGATCGGGCTGGTCAGGCATACGACCTTCTGAATATGGGACTATCTCTTTCTAGAGATAAAGACAAGCTCCAGGCAGCGCTTGAGGCCCCGCAAGAAGCGACAAAGCTGCACGAGCAAATAGGCGACCTCGCTGGGGAAGCATATGACCTCATGGGTTTGGGACATGTTCTCCGCATGTTCGGAACGCGAGACGAAGAAGCAGCGTCTACATTCTCCAGTGCCTCCATTCTCTTCGAGGATATCGGTGACTACGCTGGGCAAGCTGCAGCCTCAAACGGTCTGGGGAATATAATGCAATCCAGGTCGAAATTTGCAGAGGCAGAAAAGTACTTCAGGAAGGCGGTCGGATTGAGTGAGGCTGCAAGAGACATCGTCGGCCAAGCAGAGAACATGGCAGGTATTGCTGTCACTCTACTGCTTCGCTCTCGCTGGTCAGAAGCTCAGTCGGCCATCGAGAAGGCTCTTACACTCCGAGTGCCCAACGTCGATCCGGACCATCTCAATTGCCTTCCACCGTGGCGAACGCCGTAAAGCCCTCGATCTCAGCTATGTGGCTTTCAATCACGCACACGCCCGTGACGACCTCCTCGAAGCGACCATCAAGCTCCTCGGTGCTGAGCTCTGCATACGTGACCATGCATTTAGCCTTGCGCTGGTCCGTCTTGCCGATGCAAAAGAGGTGTTCGAGCGGCTTGACTGTGCCCTTGGCATGGCTCAGTGTCTGTATCGTTGGGCAGCCTATGACATGCGCCATGGCAACTTCAACGAGGCGATGCAGAAGCTCGTCGACGCGTTGAAAATTCACCAGGAAGTGGATTCACTGCAAGGGCAGGCGGATGACTTGAACAAAATATCTGAGGTTCTCGTCCACCAGTACCAGATATGGTACGCGTCTGCACCGTTAGGACTATTTGAGGGGGAAGATAACGATCCTGCTTCCTTTTTGCGCAAGGCGGTCACTCTAATTGCTGAAGCCCTTGCCTTGCACATCCAGATTGATGATATACAAGGACAAGGGGATGATATGTATGTGCTCTCAGGCATTTTCTTGCAACAGGATAGATTTTCGGATGCGGAAAACGCAGTCAGGCAGGCGCTGGACATGCACGAGCGGACCCAAGCCATCTACGAGAGAGGACGGGACTTCGCGAGGTTGAGCGATATTTTGTGGCAAAAGTCTCGCAAGGCGGAGGGGTCAGATGTGAAGTCGAGGGCGAAAGCAAATGCTGGGGGTCTAGAGGAGGACCTGTTTGTTGTCCTTCGCCGTGCCACGGACATATTTTCCAATATCGAAGCTTGTGGAGAGTTCTTCGAGTGTCGGCAACAGAGGAGACAGATGAGGGGCAAAGAGTTGATTCCCGCTGAGGGTGTTAGGCTGCCGATTTTTTACCTCTCGGACAGCGACATAGAAGAAGACAGTGACGAAGACGACAATGGAGACAACAACGAAGTCACGGATGATGATGGCGAGCAAGATGATGAATGCGACACAGCCAGCGACGGAGGAGATGAAGAGGGGTAAACAATGAATGAAAAAAGCGTATAAATGTATGATAGATATATGAAGAACCGTGACAACACGATCCTGTTCATCAGTAAGATTGAATAATCCGAGAATATGGGTATAAAGCCTCCCAAAAAAACGGAAGGCATCTAGGCACTGTATGTAGGAGGAACCTCCTCCACTCGTGCGTGTGGTGGTATCATTTGGGACAAACGAACCCCGCTATCGGCATGAACGACGATAACTCTTGGATCGCTGGATTCGTTACGAATGTTGTCCGTGACATGTGCAGGTGTAGGCGACGACGAAGGTGCTGATGGACTGATTGCTGTCTGGGCCGACTGAAGAGACGTAACAGCTATCGTTCGACTGAAGTCGGGCTCGCTTGTCGCAAGACTCAGCTGGCCTTTCATGCTAACGGAAGGAGCAAAAGGCGAGGGTGCTGTAATGGCGGCGGAATTTATGCCAGCAGTAGGCGGCGACATTGGTTCAAATGGTTGGACCACCGTCGTATTGGGTTTTTCCTGAGGTTCTGAACTGTGACGCCGTAGATGTCGAAACCAGAAAAAGAGAGCGACGACGACGATGAAGGCCAACCCGCCCAGAACTCCTCCGAGGATAGAACCAAGGTTGGTGGATTTGCCTGATGTCGCCGCTCCAGAGACTCCGCTGGTGCCTGTCGGCCCTGCTCCAGTAGACGAGCCCGAGGGTATACCGGTCGAGGTTGTCGTTGTTCCATTCCCGACAATGACATTGGTGAGGGTCAAGGGAGTTTTCGTGGAGTCACCTTGATAGAGCACCTGAAGCGTGTGGTCGCCAACTGGATAAACGTCGGTCTGGAATAACTTCTCGAAGCGATGAAGTGGGGTGCCGGGTGGTGTAGCCTTCAATGCAAATTCCTGGGGAGTTCCGCCATCGATAGCCCAAGTTGCTGTCGCGTCAACGCGCGGGTAATTGTCTGGTATGAATCCATAGTACTCTAGTGAGGTTCCTGGATGCAATCAGGACGTTTAAAAAGGTGTGCCTGAAAAATTAACCAGGCCACACACCAGAAAAGTTGAACGTAAAAGCTGCGTTGGGCACTTGCGAGGCGTACCCAACCCCAGACGTGAATTGCCACATGTCTTCAGGTAGCCCAGCCCGGAATTCCGCATCTCGTTCGTCGATAAGGATAGACTGGTTGGCTGTGGATTCGCCCGAAGAGGTATACTGGATCGAATCGAGCCAGAACGTCTGGTCCCTCACAGTCGCATTTACTGTGAGTACATGTGGGCCGGCGGCGAACGTGAATCCACACAACGTCCAGTGATTCGTCGGGGTTGTACTTGGTGGGTACGTCGGAATCTTGCTGCCGTCAATAAAACACTCCCACTGTGGGTCTATCACTCCAGAATTGTTGGCTATTCGAGCGTCGCGATAACGTCCACGGATATCCCTGAAGGCGACAACACGTCAGAACGGTTATTCGTTGGACCAAATCAAACTGAGGATACATACCATTGAAAGCAAACGAAAAGCTCGAGCCGTTGGTGGTGGTCCCATGCAGCGTGCTCTGGTACGGAGCTCCGTAAGTCCCTAGTGAGTCTTTGCTCCCTCGGTCTTGGAACCAGCTCCCGGCATAGGTGATGTTGGGATTGGTGTCATCCACAACAACAATCCTAGTCGACATTCTGAGGGATCGGTTACGGGATACAGTGCCGTCAAATCATGGATCTTTGAAGAGAGGGCGAAGCTGTGTTCTTTCTGTCAAAATGTAACAATGGTGTTGAAGCCAGGCATCCCACTCAGGGTCGCTGGTGACGCAATGAGGGCCATCGCGAGAGATGTCCTCGAAGATGCAGCAATGTGTGTGGTGGTTGGGAACAGGCTTACGACCAGGAAGAACGTCACACAAACTCAGAGTGTGTACGCTTCCAAGTCACGCAGAATTTCTACGAAGATTGGCGCCGCCTCTCTGAAGTGAAGTGAATATTCGAGCAAGGTAGCATACAATTCTCGATGACCAACATTCAGCGTACTAGTACATCATATAGCCGTGTAATCCGTCAAAGAGAAAGAGGAAAGGAAGAAATAGAAAGAAGGGGTCAAAGAAAAGCTAATATGCAATGCTAACGCACTTATTCTGAAACTCGCTCCACCGATTGAGGATCGCGTCAGTGACGAAATGTGCCACATCCTTCCTCGATACCGTCCAGCCGCCCAGTTCTCCCTCCGAGACCCGATACCCCGGCTTGCCCTTCTTCTTTTCCTTCTCGTCCTCAGCTTTGCACTCCCCATCCGTCAGGAGTGCCGGACGGATGACCAAGAACCTCTTCAAGCTCCCCTCGGCTGGTAGCCCCTCCCTCTTCTTCCACTCGTCGCCCTTGGCACCCATGATATCGTCCCCGGGCTCGCCGTCGTCCTTCGTGTTCCATGTCCACCCGGCGCAGTGCGCTACGAGTCGCTCCGCGCCTACTTTGTCCTTATGTGGTGCAGCAAGTAAGTAGCTGTATAGAGGCTTGAGCGCAAAGGGCAGCTCGGCGTGCGAGGTGCGCGTTAGGCCCGTTGAGGAAATCGTAATGACGCGGGGTTGGGGCTGGGAGGTCGGCAGCGTGCAGAGGACGTTGAAGAGTGATTGGGTAACGAGGTTCGCGGGGTCAATCACGGCACCCTTCGTGACGCTGAATTTTGGTGTGCCACCTGTACAAGAATAAGCAGAAGTTTACAAGACAAAGTCGTAGTGCATATATGCGCCAATTTGGACGAGAAGGGACACTTACCGACTGTGAAAAGCAGCACATCGACTGGACCATCTTTGCCTGCTTCGTCCCATGCGCGTTGCACGTCCTCCTTCACGAGTGCATCGCCTTTGATGAGACGCGCTTTCCCTGCCTTCACGTACTTCTGGATCGTCTCATCCGCGTCGAAGACCGCAGGTGAGCGCAAGAGGAATGTTACTGTTGCTCCATTATCTAGATCGGAACGCAATCAGCACCCCGAGATAGATGAAATACGGGAGAGGTCCAGGACATACCTAGGAGCCTGATAGAGGAAAAGTACCCGATGTTGCGAGAGCTGCCAATGGCAAGAACATTGAGCGACATGATGTGTTGAAGTGCTTCGTATCGGAACGGGGGAGTGTTTGACGACGACAACAGCGAGGTTGATGACACCTCCTTTATACCGCGATTGTCTCGCTGGTATTTGATTCAACCTCCTGCCTTTCCTTCCCTTCCTTCCCTGCTCCTTTCCAATTGCAGCGAAGACCATGACTCGCTACCGTTCCGCAAGGCCCGCAGTTGCTGATATCCATCAAACTATTTTTGTGTGCGTGTTCATCGCAAGATACGTGCAGCTGGTGTGCGTGTACACTCGGTAGAGAGGAGGTGGTACTGCGCGTCGGCAACAGAGGGTCAACTCTCGACGTCGGACACGCTGGCAATGAGCTCATGGATCTTATCTTGCTAGACGCCCGTGATCAGACACAGACTTGAAGCTGGATGCTGGCCGACTCGGTGCTTCATGGAAAGAAAGCAGATGAGGGCGAAGGTTCTTGAGCGAGGGTTGAGAAGAGTTCAGCTTCGGTTACGCCCAGCGCTGATGCGCAGCCAAGCCGAACATGAACGCAATTGAACCTGCAGCATCGCAAAAAACTGCGGGTCCGCGCAGGTGGAAGAATAGAGCTTGAGCTGTGTCGGCAGAAGCGCTGACGAACTGAGGATGAACGGCGGGGTCTGCGGAGCGAAGAGAACTGGTAGTGGTAGTGGTGTTCACTGTGGTCGAAACCTACGCCACTGTCTACTTCACCGGTTTGAGCGCCTAAGCACTGCCAAACCGTCATGTCAACCTGATGGACGCGAAAGATTCAACTTCAATAGGCGTATCCTTGCCACGACTCGATAGACTTGGTTTCGAAGCGAACCTGTGAGATCACTTACTAAATGCGCCAATAGTATTGGCGCATTTAAAATGAGACGGTTGGCGCTTGGCGGGCACCACACCGCAGGCGGGTCCCTAGATATCATGCGAGAAATAGGTGGCGGTTCAGTGAGGGTATTTTCCCCTTCAAACCGATTGATGGAGTTCCCAATCACTAGTAGACAGCAGCTGGCAGCCACGACGAGGGTGGGAGCGAGAGCGGGAGGTGGCGAAGGAGGCGCTGGGGTAAGTATTCTGTATTTTGCCTCAAATACAAGGAAAATCGCAATTACGTCCAGGTAGATCGAGGTGATGACCTTTTTCTCTTCCACTTGTCTTCCACTCAGAATTTCTGGTTAACGTTACTTGAATCTATCGTCCCCCCTTAACTCCAACGTCCCCTTCTCGTTTCTCTCCTTGATCAATTCTGTTATCCTCTCGAGCGTCATGCAATCACTCGCACCGCGAAATTGCATGATTTCTTCAGGAGAGTACCCCTTGGGCGGGTCGTAGCTGCAAAACCCGATCGATTCGTTGGTGAAGGTAATGACTGCGATGTCCGGGGGAGGGTCGCGCTCGACAGTCCAGTGTTCCGGGTTCTACGATGCCAGAAAAGTGGGCAGTTCTAGGTGTCAGTTCCACCTTGAACCATTAAGAGGGGTAAGGTACAAATAAAGCGAACCTTGTCGATGGTAGGATCGATGACTGCGCCATAGTCCATGACATGGGTGTTGTCTGTAGGCTCTTGTGCAGACATTGTGGCTTTTGGGGCATGAGATAGAGAAGTCATCCATTTTATGTACGAGACGTCAGTTGATTCACACACAGCCCGATGTGGGTACTCAGCGCTTAGCGCTCAGCCTTTTCTCTTGTTTCAAACCTAAACTTGGAATGACGGGTCACTGCCATGGATTGTGGGCTGCTGCTCATCGACAGATTCTGATTCTGATTGAATCGTATATACTTGGCCGATGTGATCATGAATGACACACAGGGATTGTGGTTAATCGACTACAGAAGTGGGATCGAATTCGAAGGTACGCGGTAGCCTTATTGTTTTATTCGGGATACACACTCAGAATGGGCGTTTATGCATAAGCTGTATGGCGAGGAGTCGCTCAGGTGAGCCAGGTCGGTTCCCTCCTTCGCAGGCAAGCAGCCGGTTTACAGAATTAGGATGGAATGTTTGCTTGGAGCCCTCCATGAGTCCCATCGTCAGATGCTTGGCTTTGTTCGTCGGAAAAAATAGCTTCGATCGGAGAAATCTACTCCACTTCTGGCTGCCCCCGACTGGCGCCCACGCGATCACAGTGGAAAGACCGTCAGCTACAATTACTCCGCTATCGGCTGTAGTGTTGCCGGGAGCTGAGGTTGAGTCAACTCGAGGTGGAAATATTTCGAACTCAGACGAACTCGAGCTGATGGGAGCTCCAACTCAGCTCGAGTCACCTCGTAATCAGTAATCAAATTATTTCTCGATTGGGCACCCGCCTCTCCTCAGTAAAAAGGACGAACGACGATGGCATATTGCGGCCTTGTAGTGATTAGAAACATATAGAAAAAGGTGTATACAATGTAGCGTTGAATAGAAGTATATTAGACTCCTTAAAGTAGATTAATTATTGCCCTCGTCGTCGTCATAGTCAAATTCCTCCATTCCCCAACCCTCCCAAGACACGTCAATGTATTCCTTCAGTTCGTCAATCTTTCCGGCCGCCATGAGCTCGTCAATGACATTAGGATCCATGTCAATGACCGACAACTCGCGTTCGCTGCAAACCAACCCCTCCGTGAAATTGATACGGTCATTTCGGTAACGGTGCTTCAGAATCTGAAGCTCTTCCATTGTGAACTCTTCAAGATTGGAACGTCGCATGGTGTCAGTCTCCTTGCTCGACGAGAAGACCCTCTCGCATGGAACAGCCGAAGCTTGGGCAGGTAAGACATCGCATGCGACCCTCCAAAAGAGTGCATGATTACCCTGCTCAGCCTAAAAACGGATGTCAGAATCCAATGGCATTTTGAAAACTTGACAACATACCTGCCAGAAGCGAAGTAGATCGAAATCCTTCATCTTTGGGTGGCCTTTGCTAATAACGCCCTCCTGTTCATAGGCTCGAATCGCCGCCTCAACAATCCTTTGATCTTCAAGGTCTTCATGCTGCCAAATGGTTGCCTCGTCTTCGTTGGCAGCACTTGAGGACCCATTCGTGCCAGAAGTGCTCGCTGCAGGGATGGATGAAGCTGATAGTGTGCGTGCAAGCTCATCGAGACGTTCGAAACCGCTCGCTTGGGCACGGGCAGCGTCCGAGGCCGTGGGGAGGCTCACGAGCCGTCGTGAAATGGGCGGCGGGGATTGTGAGTCAGTCGGTGGTGATGGTGGTGTATCTGATTCTGTCCTCTGACTGTTCTTGGTCTGCTTGCGGATATCTTGCTGATACTCAAGAAGCTTAAATCAAGATGTCAACCTTTCAACATCGGAAAGTAAGAAAGTAATTTACGTACAACATTGAACACAGTCATTCTTGCATTTGAATAAGCATCGGCATCCCAATTCTCTTCGAGCCACTTGAATTTGATAGTCGGATTGATCACTATTCAAAGATGACGACTTCAGTCAACTTTTCACAAGGGAACTGAACAGGAAATACCCATGGCAAGAACATATATCCTCGTCCGACGAGATAGGTTCAAATATTCCTCGAGCTTTGTGCTAGACACACTAATGGCATGCGAGAGTTCCGGAATTTGCAAACGGAGGTCCTTGAGCATCACAAGAAGCTTCTCGTACATGGGAAGCACAAGTGACAGGGTAGGTGTCTTCTCTCCGGAAACAAGCTCCTGGACCACATGAAAAACATAAAGAAAGTACCGTATGTCTGCAAGAACAGAGATCTCCATCTCAGTAAACTCGTATTGGGAGAGATCAGGGTTGTTCTTAATCATCTCTTTGGAAACCTAACAGAAACACAGTTAGTTCGAGACTAAAGAGGCACAAGATAAGCCATACTGGGTGCGTCTCAAGAAAGCGGTCAATCATGCGAAAGGTGGACGACCAATGTATATCCATATCCTTCAATAAGCCAACCAGCCGCAATTTCTTCATTGTCGCGTCAATGGTCTTTAACTTATGAAGTGTCTCTTCGAATTCCTCTCGACGCTGCCCAGAGGATCGGCAAGCAGTGACCCATTTGCGGACAGAGGCTACAACATCGCTCTCGAGAGCGTCTCGGTATTCAGGGTTGTTCTGAAGTGGATCCGAGCTGAAGGAGGGGGTTGATTGGGCACTTGCCTCGAGGTCAAGAATATCTTGATCGAATAGTGGAAGTTCTGTAAGTTCCTTGAGGCCAGCTTTGACTGCGAGGTTGATAACATGTGGGAAGCATCTATAGAATACGGTTTGAGTACGAGTCCAACTACATATCATGACAACTCACCGAATCCGATTCCCGTCCTTGTCAAATGGGATACCCAATAATTCCAGCTCATCCGACAGCTGCTCCATCATTGTATTGTTGTTGCCAGCATTGTTGAGTGTGATGGCAGAGATCTATGCAAATATTCATGAGGCTAATCAAGAAATTTCAGCCACAGAAAGCTTACCTTCTCGACACAACGAATTTCCTTCAAGACTTGCATAAAAACGTGGCCAATGTTGACGCCCGTGTGACTGCCTCGAATGCGACGGAAGGCTACAAGGTGGCAGCGAAGGACAAGGCGGCCAGTCGCAGGGCATCGTGCGAGATAATGCACTGTGACTCCCATATAACCTTCCTGATTCTGGCGAGACCAGATGTCACTGGTAAATGAAACACATCCCAACGAGTTCTGTAACCTACATGAGCATCTGTTTTCATTCAATTGACAGGCAACGTACCTCGATATCCAACAGCATAGCCATATATTCCTGCTTGAAGTTCGTTGTGATTATTTCTGACAGCTTTGTGCGATGCGGGATGTCATCATCGCTGAGCTCTACCCCAATATAAAGAAGGAGATCACGGAGCTCGGGGCAATCAACAACATCGAGCGACTAGATGGAGTTGATTAGGATGGCCCAAGTGAAACGAAATGCAATTGATCACATACCTGATCGTCGACTACTACCCATTTAGCCAATCGGTCCAAGAAGCCCTCGAGGGTGAATGGCTCTCGCTCGCGATTTCGTTTCAGCCCCATCATGCTCTCCTCACCGAGGCTTTCCCAACCCTTTAACTTCTTCGCAACAACAACGTCACGCCAATGTCTCCAGTGCTTTAGTTTGAAATGATTTCGTATAGCCTTTGTCTGACCGTCAATGTTCTTCCAGGTCGTCCAGTCATTGCCACTGTGTAGACCTCTCACGTCAACAGAAACCTTTAGGAGGAAGAAAGGGGGACGACGTACGTGCAAAGGCGGCATCCTAGAAAGTCAAATTTCTTTCGATCTGGCCGTTTCTCCAAAATTTCCTCCCGTTCCGGCACTGCCGCAGGACGAATATCAGTTGTCAGTCCACGCGTGAAGTACCACACATCCGATGCAGCAGCTCGATCTTCCCTTGATTCCGAAACAAGCAAAGACCCCTCGATTGCAATTGTTGGACCAGCCCGCCGCAGGAGAGATGGATGGGCAGCAACACGAGACTCGGGAGGTTGTGATGATGGGTGTTGAGGGCCGACTCCAGGCACAGAGGGAGCAGGCACAGAGGGAGCAGCCTGAGGCTGGAGGGTGGTGGCTGAATCGGGTGGAGTTGCACCCGATGTATTGACGTTTGTGTTTTGCTTCTTCCGTCGGCCGCTGCTGCCTTCACGGCCTGACTTGCGCTTCTTGGATGCCGAACTTGTCGAGGTAGCTGCAGCAGGTGGGCTTGAGTTGACGAAGGTTGGGGTATGGTCCGATAGCGCTACTCGGAACGCGGGTGGCTCATTGGGATATGGCAGAGCAGGTGTCGATCCATACGTGGCTTGAAATGTGTTCTGGAAACCATATGCTGAGGTTGCCGCCTGCCCATTATTGCTAAAACTGATAGGGAGCTGAGCCAGAAGTACTGGAGCACTAGGGAAGGTACGAGGCCATTGGTAGATTGGAGGATACAAGTGGGTAAAAGCAGGATGATATGATTGTTGTGAGTGGGGATGAGTAGAACAGATACATCCATGTGGGCCTTTACAGACACCACAGATGGTTGACATACTGGTATGATCTACATGCCATTTTTTCCGCCCGCCTTTTATACCCGTTCCTCCCTGCCCCCTCGCCTTTATACCTCCTCCCGACCCAAGAATTTTCAACAAGCCTGACGCGTCAACGACACCAAACTGACGCGTCTAAGTGTCGCCAAACAGGGACTCCGTAGCTTGAGGTGTGAGGATTTGAATGAGGTGGGGTGATGGCAATATCATGTAACCACGAGAGCGGATGGCGGCCTACAGGGTCCTGGGCTTGGAAGCAGTCCATGGCGGGGTTGCTGATGCGCGGGGCGGCACTTGGAAGGCGGGAAACAGACGGAAACCAGAGAGAATGGCGCAGACAGGGTGTGCAAGGTGGTGGAAGGAGGAGGAAGAGCTGTGAGAAAAGCAGCGTCAACGTTCGAAGCTTTGAGACGTGCCATCAATGTCAGCTCAGAGTCAGCTTGAGCTGAGCTGCACCTCTGTTGCCTCGAGGTGCCCGATTTAGAAGGCACTCCAAGCCAAGTTCAACTCGACTCGGAGTTCACCTCAGCTCCCGGCAACACTAATTGGCTGCTCGAAAAAGGAAGGTCTTAGCAAGTCAATGTAGCCTACACAGATGTGAAATAGCGCCGAGACGACATTCCAACAATTCCATCACCACGCCCACAGTAGGCGAGGGGGCTATTCCTGTCTGATGGCAGCTCGCAGTGGGTCAACTCAGAATGCGACCAGTATAAGTACTGTGTGAATGCTCCAAAATAATCCTCCAGAGCGTTTGATACATTTATCCTCTCACTACATATGCAATCACAGGCCGATTGCGGTGTTTTAACGAAACAACCACCAGCACCCGTCTCCTACCTGCGTTTATCTACATACGTCAAGTGCCGTTGTTGTTGCTACTGTGCAGTATTCATCATGAAAAATTTCGACATCGTTGCCATCCTCTTCGTTCTCGCTTCTGCCATCGTACCGTCACTGGCAGTCCCCCTTCCATCTCTCGATGCTGCAAGTTATTTCGCTATCGTGACCGAGGTGTGTATTTATATCCCCAATATCTTGCTGGTCATATAATCCGACATTGCTTGGCAGCGTGATGATTTTGTCCTCGTCAGTGTCCTCGAAGCGTGTGCAATATCCGTGTGGGTAGCCTTGCCGCTATGTTTCTTCCCACTATTGTAGCACTTATTCTGGCTTCATGTTCTAGATCTGCTCAAGATACCGTGACCTGGCTCAGTAATGACGCCAACTCTGGTACCATCAATGCCAAACCTATTTGCTTTTACAGCGGCCACACCGTCGTCATGAACACCAAGATCAAGAAGCTGGTCACAATAACTGCTCACAGCAAGCTAAGCTCATTCATGAGCACCCACGGGTGCAACAGCATTGACAACATAGTACACCCACGGGTGCAACAGCATTGACAACATAGTACACACCGCCGGGCATAGCAAGGACGCGAGGCATTGGACTACTGTTGATTGGGAAGCAGTTTCCAAAGCTCTCACGCAACACATTACTGGCACAGTCAGAGTTCTCCTTGGGACTGCTGTCCCGGACAACTCAATTTGGAGTAGAGCCGAGAAGCCTGCCCTCATGAGTAATGCCACTGTTCTGATCGTAGAGCACTACCAGATTGACACGAAGGATGGTATCATTAAGAAGGCTAACATTAAGGGTTGATAGGTTTAGAGTAGTGCGTGCGATTACTTATCTGTGTACACAGTTTAAACCGTAACCACCCCGACCTAGCTTAAGCCAGAGGCCTTAGGTATGGGGGGGGTGATTAAGCAAGTCCATTGTTTAAACGGTGTTTAAACTAAGGTTACAATATATAATGCTACATTATTTACAATATAACAGATGTTTAAACATTGGCCCGATTAAACCATTGATTGATTTAAACCAACGGTTTAATCTCTCCTCTTTTCCACAGTAACCTGGTCCCGATTAAATCTAATTGCCTGTTTAAACACATCGACCGTTTAAACACATCAATTGTTTAAATGGTGTACTGTTTAAGTCAACGGCAGAAATATCTCCTCTTCGCCGGGGTTTACCTTCCCCCTTCCCCCTGGGAAATAGTGATAGAGCCTGGCATTGGTAACTGGGATTGATTGTCAGTAATTGGGCAATGGCAGCTGAGAAAGAGGACACTCAACAATACGTGGGCGTGGCATTTGATTCTGGGGTTTCTGTTGCTCTTCATGAACGTATTCAGTGAGTAGCTTTGGGCTGGCATTGTCAAGAGACTCCACAAGATGCCCAAACCCAGCAGCAGCAAACAATGTCCTTGCGTCACACTCCATTGTCTTGTACATGGCCGACTTTTTCCGTGTGTAAGCAGCTGCTCCAGCCAACGAACTGGTTGATGATAGCTTCAACCAAACTGACGACATTGTTGTGAAGGCACGTATGCAGCACAAGAAGTCAGCCTGTTTGATTTCCAGCTCCTCTCGCCAGCGCTGAACCTCAGCCTCTGCCCAGAAGAATTGGACTCGATCACCTGGGGTGGAAATGAGAACTAGCTCCTGGATTCATTAAGTGATCAATCATACCTTTGTTGACCCAATCCTCAAGCTCCTTCTCTGTCATCCGAGCCTTTGGTTTAAGCAGCCAAATCCAGCCATCGTCCTCTACAGACATGATCAGAGAGTGAATACACATATCACACATAACATACTTTTCTCAGAGGGTACCTCTTCAACATCAGTTTGATTGTCTTTGCTGCCAGTTTTATGCTCAAGCCGGCATCGTTTACCCTTTGGCCCCTGCTTGCCGAGCGCAGCTTGACGACCTGGTAAATCACCCATGAGATTAAATGCACCACAAGATCACCAAAATGGCACATACGTTTGGCTTGAGAGGACTGAGTTTGCACCATTGGCCTAATTGCTCCCAAGGAAGACCCTTCACCAGGATCATACTCAGACTGTGGGAGACGAGCCCCAGCATTGACTCCTGACATTGTCCAGATAGCACCATCTGTTTGCCGCGAATCCCCAACAGCTCGCTTGAGGTGCGTGGGTTTGCGAAACGTGTCCTGGACTGTGAGAGGGAGGAAGAAATTGTCATCACTCGCCATGCCGAGGGCAATGAGACATTGTCGGATAATGTTGTAGTGATCAATGGCCCGATCCCGACGTTCCTCCACCTCCCAAATTTGCGCCGCTGCCCAGGTGTGCCGCTCCTGCCCATATGCATGTGCCTTCTTCTCAGAGTGCAGAGATACAATGGCCTTGACGATCATCCGTGTATTGCGGAGGGTATCAAACGCAGCTCCCTCCTGCATTTGCTGTTCATAGCGAGTGAGACTTCCAAGTTTGAGGCTTTCACACGTGGGTTCATCAAAGTCAGATGGAATGAACAGAATTTCGAGCTCTGGGGTGTCGACAACTGAGCCGGAAACAGATTGCTTCATGACGTAGTCGCCGACCTGAGGAATCAGGTCCTTCTGAATGTTGCGCCATGCATCAATCTTGTCTCATAGCCGGCCCCTGCGTCCTTGGATTTCTGACATCTTCTGAGAGGTCAGCTCTTGCTTGGAGGATTCGACACAAGCCTGGATGACGCGTCTATTGTCACGTGAGATCAGTCTAGATAACAATGTACGACAAGACCTACTGTTCTTTCAAGATCTCGAGTGCCTCGTTCAAAAGGCCTGGAAGTCCAGAAGTGGTATTGTTGTATGCCTGCTGATCGCTAGCACTGAGCTCAGCCTTGAGCATTTCATAAATGCGTGATTGGGAAGGAACTGAGTGCGTGCGTTATTATCACATCATCATCTGAGCAGTTTAAGTGACACACCTTTCTTCTGATTATGTTGATAGACACATTGGATTTCTTTGTTGGTGCCAACTGTGCGAAGCTGTCTGTCAAGTTTATCCCACTCAAGCCATTTGTCAGCATAAAGATCGCAGAGGCTCTGGAACACTTTTCGTTTTTCCATAAGAAGCAGCCGTGTGCGGTCAAGATCCAGGCGGAGAGTAGCAGCTTGAGATAGTGTGTAAATATGAGCAGATGATGTGTAACAGTCCAGAACTTACCAAGGTTTGCGGTCTTCTTCCAATTCCAGTCGTTATGATGGTCACTGAGCGTCTCCTGCCGATTTCCGTTATTCATCTGGTGTGTCTGTGCACCAAGTTGATTCAACTCAGGCCAGACATGCTCAGCAGTCTCTCCATGAAAGTGACCCACACCGTCAGTGTATGCACTCAAAAACTGGTACATACAGTTGTCCTTGTGGTTCTGGACGTGCACCAAGGGAATAAGAAAACGAATACGGTGGACAGCGTTGACAAGGTCAGGGAAATTTCGCTTGAAGCGGTCAACCACATTGACCCAGTAGGCGCAGGAGATGTCATAGGAAACCAGGTGATCACAGCTAGTGATAAAAGAGCATTTGAACTGGCCAGCATCATGACTTTGGGTGGTATATTGATGGATGGCCATCGCAAGTGCATAGTCAGTGTTGGCAAACCTTGGAAAGAAATTATTAAGTTGATGTACAAATGGATAGGACAGAGTTTAGCCCACCTTTCCCCAAGTTGTAAATCAACGCTAGACTTCACGAACACATGGCCACATTGGGCGTTTACGATGCCAGTAATGTCCATGTTGTTAAACTTCTTACGATTTTGTTTGTTGACAGCGTTGAGATATGAACATGTGGTTTTCTGGAATCACCGGGCATTGTTAGATCATGGTTTTGAGTTTATGACTTGCATTCACCTCTGGGAGATCGGCGGGTTGGCTTTTTAGATAAGCCTGAAAGATGGCATCATCAGGGAAGCAGGCCCTACCACCGAACAGCGAAACATTGTCCAGATCAGTGTTCTTGATGAACTTGTTGGTGTGGTGGTTACCGTCAAGGGTGTGTTGGGTCTGGTTTAGATGACTTGAACAGCTGTTAGATATTGGATAATTGAGGGATAAAAAGACTAGTACCAACCGGTATTCAATCAGGGTTTTCTGCCAGTTTGGCTCCATGTTGACTTCTGGCTCTGGACACGCTGGGCAATAGACCAACAGGTTGCCTGCAGGGCAATTTGGAAGGAGCACATCAATGCTGTGGACCTGTATGAGGTGTTTTGTGGCTGTTAGGAGCCGCCAGACTCAAACAACTAGTCGAAACTGTGGGTAAGGGTCCTTGTACGAGAATAAGAAGTTGAAGACTGAACCAGATTGTATTTGTGCATACCGGGATCTTATGAGCAAACATATTATCTGTGAGTCGCCGAAGAGACCCGATAAAGTCATATGTGGCAACCTTCGATTCAAGGTGGAGAATGTGGAATGTCTTCAGAGTCCGGAAGGTGAACGCTGTCTTTGGCTGACGCAAAGTCGCAGGGAAAAGGCAATGTTTCAGGAGCTGAAAGGGTCTCTCAAGTGCACCAGGGCAGCCACAGAATTGAATCTTGGTGTGATGAACACCGTTAACATCTATAAGGTGGAAGAAGATGTCGGAGGCGGGGTGTGGACAGACATTTCCGTTGTGGCCGAGGTGGATAGCATAACCTTTTTCTCGTAGTGTGGAAATATCATGACGGACAAAGTATTGGCCAGTGGCATTCCAAACGTCAGCCCAGTGAGTAGGTGTCTGCGAATGCTGTCGAATAAAGCATTCGGAACATGAGAGCTCATATCCGAAGCATTCACGACAGAGAGTGGTGCACACAGCTCCAATGGCTCCACACTGACACGGCATATTGAGCAAGGGGCTTGAGTTGTCGTCCATTAGAACATTGAGTAGCTTGGGCAGGGCGTCGACAAAATCTTGGAGTTGCTCGGATGCCTGTGAGGCAGTAAGATGCATCATTCAATGTTGATTTGTACACCACACGAATACACACCTTCTTCTTTGGGGGTGGTATTTTCTCCGTCTCTTGTGGTAGTGGGTCTGCGTAGCGCAGAGGTGGTGGGGGTGCAGGAAGAGGCAGAACTTCATGTGTGATGATAGAGCCGGTTATAGATGTGTGTTCAGCCTGATGACTAAGGCCAGTCTCAACAATTTGATGGCCTAATGCAGCCTGAGCTGTGTCAAGGTTCTTCTTGAAGGACTTGAGGGACAGATTTGGAGCGGGCATACTGTTGGGAGTGAGTGTTCAGTAGCACAACGGGGTAAAGATGTGTGGAGGTGGGGGAAAAGGGAAAGACGTATGGTGGCAGGGGAAGGGGGAAAGACGTATGGTGGCGGTGGCGACTGGACAACATGTGCTACGTGGCTCAATCCTCCGAGACAAAGCATGTTTGGACAAGCTTTCTTGGTGACAGATAACAAAAAACAATTTTGATTCACGTTGGTGCAAGAGCAAGGGGGAACAATTTATCAAGGTGGGGTGGTATCTGAAATATGGTTGATGAGGACCTCCAACGCTTGCAGATGCTCCCGCAACATCTCCAAATCCTGAGTAATTTGGCCATGAGAAGCGCCTTCTAAGGTGGCCAAATAGCGGCGTCCAACTTCAAGGGCTAAGCGATAAATTTGTTGGCCTTGCAACAAGCGTGTGTTGGTGGCATGAGCAACTCGATGTGCAGCTGCTTGTCGCTGTTGGCACACACACGGAGCAAGTGTGCTAGGTATGAGGGTTAGTTAATGCCAAAGTAAGGCCAAGCAATACTTACATGCCTGTGACATCCAAGGTCCTGGATCGGATGGGGGCCTGTGCTGGAAATGAGAGCCTTAAGGAGAGAACAATCAGTCAACGCAGCCGTGATGAGGATAAGAACTACCTTTGACAGGCATTAGGCTGGTCGGAAGAGTCAGTGTTGGACATGGTGTGTGTTAAAGAGGTAGGACAAATCAGAAATGGGCCAAGTGGCCATTCGCTCGATTGTTTCACCTTTTCATCAACCATGTGATGACAAAGCATGGTATGGGAGACAACAGGGAAAGACGGCGAGCATCCCGTCAATGTATCACTCTGGAGGGTTGAAACCACCAGGCGCCAGCGCAAAGGCGGTGCACGGTGACGGTGCAAGGAAGTGGGAAATGGTAGAGGTGTAAGTGGGCAAATTGAACACCCCAAACAATGCTGAACGAACATGTTGTCGACATCCGAGAGGGGTCACTGGGGTGAGGGTGAGTGCGAGGTGAGGAGGCAAGGGTGCAAGGAGGTATGGCAGGCTGTGGGCTAAGTCCTGTTGCTGTTGTCATGTTTATGAAAGGGCAGCGTCGGTGGAGGTGGTACCAGTGAAAGGGCAGAGGTTAGCAGGCTGATTGGCATTATTGTGCTCACGAGTGTGGAAGTGAGAGCGGTGGTGGGTGGTGGGATACCAGCCAATAGTGTTGCTATTCACGATATGGTGCGATTGTGGGCGATCACTAGGGGTACTGGCACAAGGTTGACGGTGTGGGGCAAGATGAGGGCAAACGGCTGTGCTGGCCTGTTGTAGTTGTTGTTGTCTGGGGTCCGCCTATCCGATTGTGCTGGGAGTGGGGGTATGATAGCACTGAGCTGCAGGGCATTGTGGGAGGGGTGTTAGCACAAGATGAGAGACGAACAATATGCGACATACCTGGGAGGTCTCCCCGTCCCCTCCTTGTGTTGGACAACATCAGTGTGAGAGCGGCATATAGAAGCGGCAAGCATGAGGGACAAGGACGAGGGACAAAGGGATGCTATGGGCAGGTGGTGGTGGAATGAGGGAGAGTTGTTGATGTGTAAGTGAGGGGTCACGTTCCGTGATGTAGGGTCTAAAAATAATATCTTGGTAGTACTAAATAATTATGCTGGTATACCCCTTTGAAAAAGCGAGGGTATATCTGTATATAAGGGCAGGTGGGTTTGGCTGATTCCGACATCCCATTCCTCCCCACTCCTCTTCTTTTCTCTTTTCTTCCCTCTTCTCCCTTTGAACACTCGATGATGCCAATGCCGACGATGGCGAGCAGGTGAGCCTGTCGTCCTCTACTCACCGTGTTCGTTCTCTAATGCATGTCATGTCAGCATCTTCGAGGCCAGCGAACGCGTACCTGGTAAATCGCCGCCTTGTCTTTGTGATCTCTTCAAGGCGCTGACGATGTGTCATATGCAGAAATGAAGCGGCGCAGACGAGCAGGGCTAAGTGCTCCTCATTCCTTGCAACGGCCACAACTTACATGAGCGGCGCGATTCTAGGAATCGCCGCAAGCCACCTGGACTATGAGGGTAAGCTTGGGCACACATCGTAGAGAAGACATGACTGACCCAGTGACCCTGTCATCAGCCTCCCACCATGTCCTTGTCCTCTCGATGGCAACTCACCCCCCGCCGTACGATGCCCGAATGAGGTCCGAGCATTGACCTCCTTGTTGGAAGATGGTAGGGCTGTCTTGGGATCAGGTCAGTATGAGGTTCTATTGTGTGTGAGCAATGACTTACTGCTTGATGTATAGGACGGCCGTCCCGCGAATAGGCCAACAAGGGTAAGCCGTGGTTTGTATTCACCCCCTGCTGTTCAAAACTGACGTGCTGGCAGACACCCGACTCCAAACTCGGTGGTCGCACACCCGCATTCCGCCGCCCTTGTCCTGTGCCATGCCCATGATGAGCACGACATTGAGAGACAGAGAGAGGAGATGACGGCGCACGAAGCTAACGCTCGCGATGTCATGCATACGACAAAGGAGACGGCCATGACGTCTCTCTCATGAACACAACCCCCCGAACATACAATTCAGAGGGTGATTTGTAGGGGAACAATGTGTGCGAGGGCTGCCACGAGCTTTATGGCATCGAGGCAGCTCTACGAGCCTCTCCTCCTGTCCTTACCAGATGACTGCGAGGTCAACGTGCCGTAGATCCCATCCACAGACGGCGGTGTTGGGCTTGGAACCCTGTGGACAAGATGGGTGTTCCTCGTCGGTATCGTTGAGTGGTGGGCTAAGAGCTTCGTCTGTGGATGTGCTGACCCAAAGGCAGATGATGGCTGCCCACCGGGGATGTCACTAACAGTGTTTCGTGCCATCCATCTTGCGTGCGCAGACCTCCCTGTCGTACGAGCTGCTGCTGCTCTCGAGTTCGATCCGCATCTTGCTGGGGGGGTTGAGGGGAGTGAATGGTGCGGGACGTGCTTCGGGCGTAGGTTCGGGTCTCCGCTAGGAAGGATGTTGAAGGAGGAGAGAGGAGAGATGGAGGGAAGAAGGAAGGGAGGTGCAGGGATTGGAAGTGAAGGTGATCTCCCATGCACAAGTAGGGAGATGCTGTATTTATAGGGAGAACGAATGAAATTCGGGTGATTGGCTAATGTGAGAGGCAAGGGGAATTTGGAGGGAAATGCGATGTCAAGAGGTCGCGATCGAGTATATAAGTAGGAGCACATCGAGCGACGCAGGAGTCTAAGTAGATATTTTGAAAATGACCAAAAACTGTTAAAAATCACCCAAATAAATTCCAAAATTTGCCAAAATCAAATTTTCAAGGAGTATGCATGCCAGAGAGATCTACCAGAGCCCAGATGTATCTTGCAAATCACACATTTCGACCTGTAGGATGCTCGAGGAAGGCATGATGTGTAGCGTGGGAAATTGAACCACGACCAATTGGTGCACCATAGGCGGTGGGTAACGTCCTGAACATTGTTCTCATGGAGGGGTGCTCACAGGACGGTCAACTGGCCCGTGCCATGCCTGCCCTCGAGTCGGTGCACCTCATCTGTCTGCAGCATTTTGTGGCCCTGGCCTCAGCGCTCAGCTGTCATTCCCCGGTCTGACTCTCAGCCCTCCAGACGGCATATCCGGCCTTGGAAATGCTGTGTTGAGGGTGGAGGCTCAAATCTGAGGCTGATGTCTGTTCCTTTGCCCTTTTCCACTGAGTCTCATCTCAAATGAAAGTTTTACTCTTTTTTCTGCAAGGAAGCATCGCGCCATCCGAGCGCCATCCCAAATATGTAGATGCCAGCCACCAGTGTCCAAGCACAAGTGGGCCGCTGTGCTCTCCATGTCCAAGCTCCAGTATAAAAGATGTCTGCCTTCTATACCGCCATTTCACCCCATCCTCTGCCTTCAAACAACCATGCCTGCCCAACGTCAGGCTAGAGCCTATGTTTGTTTGAGCGACTTCAAGCTGCTCCTGGGGAATTGTGGCTTTGAACACGGCCGCACAATTGAAGTGTATGACTTCTGGCTTGGGCAGTGGAAAGCCACTATGTGGTCCTCACCCCAATTTGTGGCTGGCGCGAATAGTGTTCTCATTGTACGCTTTGCAGCCTGATGTGTTCACTCCCGGTGGCCTATCAAATATAGCAACTTAGTCCAGAATGTAAATTTATTTTGTCTGCTCATGCTCACACATTGTAATTGAGTTATAGCTTTGAAAGGGACTCGGACGACAGGAATGGTGGGAAGGTCATGACGGCCAAGTGAATTGGTAATTGGTACCGCTGCGAGAACAATCAGCAAAGCGAGTTGAACCAAATGAGGGCATGATAGCCACATTCGGTATTTGGACTGTGGCACTGTCAAAATGCCGGCCACTTTGGGAACGCGTCAATTTAAGCCACAGAGGGTTATAAAACTTGACACGTTTGCTCCCTTTTTTGCGTTCTTTTTACCTTCCATCCTCCCCACCTCTGTTGTAGCATGGCTAGAAAACCTAATGGCGCCACTCCCAACAACGGCCAGGCTAAACGGCCTGGTGCTCAAGCAACTCGTTTCAAACTCGGTCAGGAACACATCAAGCACATCAACTCGTACATGCCACAGTTCAAACAGCAAGTTTATGCCCTTGATCCCCAGTTGAAAGGCAATTGTCAGGAACTTACCGACTGGAAGAAGGCAACGGCTTAGGAGATTCTCAAACATGAAGTCTTTGCCGATATTCAAGGCTGCATCCCCACGGAATCAGCCGCACAGAGTGACCTGACCTCCCTCACCACTGATAGCTTGGATGACTGTGACGATGGTGGGGCCAAACCGAAGGCCGAAACCTACACCGCCTGGGTCCAGGCAATCATGCGACGCTTTACAAACTACTTCACTCATCATATTGTCAACAAGGAAGGAAGGCATTCCGGCAGCGGCAATGGGGCATCGCCAGAGGTGGAACAAAAACTGGACACAATGATTCAAAGTGCCACCGCCATCTTCATGGGCGATTTCTCTCCACGTGAACTATTTGCCAGAGAGAATGAGGATGCCATCAAATCAAAGATGCAAGAGCTTTCGGTAGAGTTCCCGGCGCTCATGGGTGGTGGTCTGAGGAACAAAGCGGTGGCTGCCCTTTGGGCTACGGCAGATCAGGACCTTTGGAAAGCGAAGGCTAAGGAGCTTCTCGCTGATGTCAACATGTACGTTTAAGTTTTTTCTCAGGTCTTCTCAGAGCGGCTTACCTACCATGCCACAGGAATCGTGAACATTTCCCTCTACTTATGGCAAGGTTCCTCAAGACGCTCTGCTCTCGTGGCTGTGTTGGGACTGTCTATACCAGTTTTTCCTATGCAGTCAGGAGCACCGACGATGGGATTAAGGCCCTCACGTACGTGTTCCTTTCAATCTTATTGTTTCCCCTTAACTCACACTCACTTCCAGAGTCTATGCCGGTTTTGACAGCACCAAGAAAGCGCTTTTGGCACTGAAGCCAAACAACCACGAGGCACAGGCTGATGCGTGGGTCAGCAGCGCCGATTCAGTTCTCCCTCGTGAGTTCTATATTTATCCGCCTTCTACCCTTGTCTCACAATGTCATGTAATGCTTAGGAAAGTTCCATGCACCCACCCTTGAACCACTTCCCTTGAACAATGATGGTCTTCCCCTCTTGCCTTGTGTGGACTCGAAGTCTGCCACTCCGTCTCAGTTGATCAAACTCCTGACTGCATATCTCAACGCCGTGTGGGGTACGTTCTGCCTTGTCTCATTTTGCAGGGTGCTATACTGAATGACCAACCTATGCAGCATTTTCATGGTCTGCCAAGCTGGGTACGGTGCCACCCATACCTTGGAAAAAGGTGGCATTAAAACCTCAAGACTATTATGACACTACGAAGTACCCATTCCCAGTGTCCCTCAAAGATCCGAAGAGCTACGAGACCATGCCTGGCAACGTCTACATCCTCTTCGGTTTCCTCTCAGCACTCTCACCCCCATTCATGTTTCAATTGCATCAGGAACCATCCAACATCTCCGTGCAGACTCAGTCTTCCACCTTATCTCCAACACCTCCCAAAGTCGCGCCCTCTACGTCATCAGACCCACAAATCCCACTTCAAGTCGCGAGTAGCCCTGAGACCAGCATAACCCTCAGTGAACACGCAGAAGCTATGACTGTGACAATCGGACCTGGAGATCCTTTCCATGCTATCCAGAATCTCATTGCGGAGGTGCCTGAGGTGGGCAGTGCTGCCCTGACACCTGGGTTATCAGTTGCACCTCAAGCTACTCTACCAGCACCTTCGGTCGCTCCCAAGTCCACGTGTCCAGGTCGGCCACCAAAAGACAAGAAAAACAAGGATCCCAGTCCTTCTGACAGGTCGTCTGGGAGACGCTCACTTTATGCAAGAGAGAAGCCCACAGAAGCTGTAAACAGCGCAAAGGTTGATTCTAGTTCAAAGAGGGCGTTGGATAGTGCTCGGTGTGAGACAGGTGGGCGAAAGAAGCGCAAGAAACAGTGAGTTGGAAGGTTTTCTCCCTGTTGCCATCCACTGACACATCGTGCAGCATCGGCTGGGCCTACATTGATGAACAGGGCAATGAGGTCGATGAGGAGATCGCTCTCGCTGCATAGGGTAGCCCTGACTAATTGATTATTCGTCTTGGTCTGACGCTCATGCGCCTGTTCAATCACCTCACCTCCCGTTCAATCACCCTCCTGTTCAATTGCCTCCCGTTCAATCATCTTACTGTTTAATCACTCTCCCGTTTAATCACTCTCCCTTTTTATTCACTTGTCACATTTCACCCTTCTCTCGTTTAATCATCGTTCATGTTTAATCCCTTTCTTGTTTGACCTCTTTCTTGTTTAATCCATCCTGCATCACATTATCTTGTTGTATCCAAGTACATTGAATGAAAAACCTTAGTTTAAACACCGTTTAAACAATGGTCTTGCTTAATCACCCCCCCATACCCAAGGCCTCTGGCTTAAGCTAGGTGCGTATGGATTTTTGTTTAAATCGATAATAGGTACTTGCCGCTTTGCTCAAGAACGAGTTACCGTGAATGATCGTGAGAAAGGCTTTCTCCCTTGCGAAAATCCTGGGCGGGCGGCTGGTACTTGACATGACAAGCCATCATACGGAATTGAGCAAAATGATGACAACATATGTCATTGAATGCTGGCCAAACCTAGTGTCTTCATAGCGAACAATATGAGGAAAGCACAACGTACTTAAGGGAAGTGTATGTTCCTGTGGGCGCCTATATCTTGTTGCTTGGCAACCCGGACTCGGACTGTCTAGTACATAACCCCTTTAGGCAGCATGCAGAGCATGGCGCAGCTGAATCCCCTTATCTCCATTTCTTGTGAAACTTGGGTATTGAAATTTTGACAGCCAACACCGGTGTGGGTTCAATCGCAAAATCGCTACCAATACTTGTCAATGCTTACTTACACTTCCACCGGACCATCATCCAAATTCAGGCCGTGAACACAGAATCTCTTGAAGTCTACTCGATTTAGGCCCTCGCCGTCCAGTGCTCCTCAAACTTCAAGCTTCATCCTCTACATTGACAGTGGCCAATTAAATCCGCGCCGTGTCTGGCACGAGCCGTACATCCTGGTGTCTCTCCATTCACAAGGATCAGGTACAATTAAGTCTTTCTGAGCTATCGTCCATCTGCCAGTGCACTTCTCAAGTGGATGCTGATGTGGGCGTCCCAACCCTCGGGCGTTATCATCAGTATTGGTGAACATATCCACCCCTTCAGTAATGTACCGAGACCGTACATTGAGCCTTGAACATCGTATCCCTTTTGTTAAATGTTCCTCAACGCTTTGATGAAGGATTTCATACGAGTACAAATGAGTAGGACTGCGGAAATTTTAGGTAAATCATAACTGAACGCCCTAGATTGTAGCATTGCGACATTAACATCGAGGGTGAACAGTAATCGACGCGAGTTCCCGAGCTCCATTCTGACACTACGAAGGTCGGAGAGCGGGTGTAGATTAATTTCGGAGCCAGGCGGTGTCTAACCGAGGTCCTTTGTTGAAGTTTGGAGGTTCATCTACGAGGAGCGTGGAGATACCTGTCATAGATGGCGACATTTCTACAATACCAGACCCAGGTGCTTCAGGATGGTATCTCCACCACAATGCATCACAGCGCGTTGTATTTCGCGACATTGAAGTGAACTAACAATTTTATCCGCTTAAGCGCCGGTCGGTTACAAAATCAAATAACCCTGCTTAAACCCATGTTTCTGCGTGAGAACATTGGTTCCCCAGATATTTTCGCCCTGACTTGGAGACTGGCAGCCTGTCAGAAATTTCGACATACTTTGTAGCCCCGACCTTCGCCCTCGCCTCTCTGGTAGCTGCGGCGCTTGTGGGTCTTTGCTCCTCCACCTTCGAGGCCTCGGTAGCAGCCCCGGGGGCGTGTGGGGTAGACTGAAAAGCCGACATCGAGACACTCAAGGCTGCCAGGGTGGCGGATGTTACTGGAAGGGTGATGCTCAATTGAAGGACGAATGCTTTATGTAATATGGATCAGGCTCACCGTTCGGTTGCCATTCTTGAACTTGCATAAAATACCAGGAAAAAGAAACGAGTGGAGTGACACCGCATATTGTTCGACTTTCCAACATACAAATACAAATTCTAGACTGCCGCGTTGAAGGTGCGTTGAAGGTGTCTGCTCTAATAGACTACTCAGAGCAAATGGAGCTATTGAAAAATAATGCGCCTCTATGTCAGCACGATGCCACAGACAAAAGCAAAGAGCACCTGCATAGTACTCACCTGACGTCCGTACGTGTAAATTATCCAGTAGCAGCCTTCTTGACGTTGAACGTAGCCAGTACAGAGCAGCCCGTCGTTTACACAAGCTGATTCGCTCGCGAAGCGCTGGGAGATAAGCGCCGCCAGAAGCCGAAAACCTCCGAGGGCTTGCTTTGTGGCAAGCATTACTAACGGCCATGACGCCCATCCCTGCCTACTAGATGGATGTAATATTGGTCGGTGGGAAGAATAATCGACGGTTCTATTGCACTAACTCTTTTGGAAGTGTACCGCGGAGTCCATTTCTAAACAACGGGGCCAACACTATTCCCATGAAAATCAAAATCGCGCCCTGCTACGTCATTGTCCCCACTCCGCATATCGTTTGGTGGACGCTCTCCAAAGCTTCCAAGTCATTCCTCCTTCCTGGTAGTCGGACATTGAGGCTAGAGAAGTATAATCTATAGCCTGAGCCTTAAATTGGGCCCAGTGACTGCTGAGTGTTGATTCTTTTTCTTTGACCTGATTTGGAATTCTTCTAATCCAAGATTAAGCGCCTGTTGCCAGTTCGCTATGTATGCCAAATCTATTTGGGGCTTGTATCTTTCTTTTTTGGGAGTCCAGGACCCAGGTGGGACTGTTGAAGTCAACTCGCGGACCCTGAGTATGTATTAAATTTCGGACAAGAAATTAATAGAGTGCATCACATCGTAAATCGCCTGCTATCCCGCAACAAGCGCCGGTGGACAAATCCGTTAAGTCCGCGAAGGAGTTCGCGAAGTGGGGGGAGATCTATTTTTTGTCTCATGTAAATGGTATATAAGCCATGCAATTCTACTCAAACCACCTCAGAATCGCATCTCCCACTCACAACACACAGTGAGTCCCTCCTCTCTGCAGAGACAACTCGCCCTTACTCCCATTCACAGAGCTAACCGAATAGCAAACCAAATATCGTTCATTTAACCACCAGTTTTCCTCTGAAAAGTAGTTTCAATCGTCTCTTCGACCGTCATGATGTTGATTACTTCTCCATTCAGAATGAAGATTTCCGCCACATTCGCAGCTTTGGCATTCGCTCTTGCCACTACTGTGGCCGCCGGACCTGCTGCTACTGTAGTTGATGAAGCTGCTGCTACCGGTGTCAGCTCCCTCGAAGTCGAAGCGCTCGAAGCGCGCGCCAATGATCCCCAGTGCTCGTATGGAAACATCGCCGGACAACATTGCAATGATCAGCAATGCAGGGACGGCGGGGGCTGGTGCAAGTACAACGCCGCCACCAAGCGTTGCTCGATGCAGAACATGCGTGGGTCGGGCTCCCCAGTTGCTTGCCACTCGTGCACCTGCAGGAAGAGCTAGAGGGTTGGGATACGGAGTACGCGTACACAATGTACGGCTCAGACGGTGGTGTCGAAGCGTTATGCGCCTGCAAATAGAGTTACCGTAGGCAGTAGAGAATTTGATGTGTGAACGAGCCTCGATTATTAGAGGGAGGGGGAAATTGACGGAGTGAAAGGTGACATACATAAATATGCAGGAGGCAAGAAACAGGCAACTCCCAGACAAAGAGCGGCCATCTTGAGATGGGGGATGGAGGAAAAAAAGGTGAATTAGCACTCCTACAAACTGTCGAATGGGCTGTACGCTATCCAGGGTGTCTTCAAATTTGAGTGCATGGACGGTTTGGTGTATCATGCGGACGCAAATGGAATTTCCTGAGAGATTTGTAATGAGGGTGAATATGAATCCCACCATTGCCTGCAAGTTCAGATACGTGTTTCTCGATAGTATGCCCTCCAAGTGGTTGCGAGGTACCGCAAAAAAGGAGCCTGGGCCCGGCTAGCCAGAAGACTGTTGAAATGAGCCCTTTCGAATTGGATGACCAGTGCCAGTGCTCTTGCATCGTCTGAGGTGGGTTCGGCCCATGTGGCTTGTAAGAAAGAAACTAGTAAGTTGCAAGAAAGTCGTTCGTTCCGATGCCGTAAGTCGAAGACAAAGATCAACCAAAAAAACCTCTTGAGGCTCTTTGTCTGGATGATCTTGTGAAGATTGTAGGTCTCAGGAATTGAACCGATGACTTAGAGCATTGACTTTGTGGGATTTCACACGATAAAGCAGCTATCAGCGCGATTGAACCACTAGGCCAAAAGGTGACACCTAGTTTTTCACTCTTTGTCTTTTGTCACTCCCAATTCGACAACCGAGGATTCCATGACATATATTATAGCTAGCGTCATTTGGACCCCGATCCAACTGGTGTTGAGGGGGGTTATCGTCTCACAACGGGGAGGGGCTTGCTTCCTTCCCACGCCGTGACAGGGACAGCTGGTCGCGCTGATCGCCAGTCTGCCGACGTACTGCCGCTTTACGGACTTATCGTGACCTAGACTGTGCGTAGCCATCACCCACCTTTGGACTCAGTCGGCAGTCTCCGAAGATCGTACCGAAAGCAGTACACAAAGTACGAGGAAGGGTCAGAGGGGAATATTAATCTTGGCACGCTGCTGGCATAATCGACTTGGCCATATTGGAGAGATTAGATAAGATCAACTTCCACCTGCGTTCGACAATTTCAAAGATCTCTGCGCTTCTACTAGTACTATCAACACCGCCATAGTTGTTCTCTAGCCATTTATCTCCCTGGATGAGGTCTCTTCTTCAAAGCTCAGAGTTGTGTTCCGTCTCCAGCAAGCCATGCAAAAAACCTCCGCCCCGCGAAATTCTGCTCCGCACACCATCGTCCCGAGTAGCGAGACGCCCCTTGCCCTTTATTTCATTACAGGACCCTTGCAAGTTGGGTCCTCGCCTGAATCGGACCCTGGACGACGGATCTGTCTAGCACGCTAGAATGTTGCCTGACGAGCGTCCGTGCAAGGGGATAAATTCCCTTTTTTTCGTGCCAGCTGTCTCCTGAGTCTCTCTTAGACCCTCAAGGCAGTGAGCACCGCACGGCTTGTTCTCATCCTCCTCTCTCTTTCGCCCCTTGTCGACGCGGATACCTACGGGAGGGACGACACCGCCTCGTGAACGACTGAGAGCTCAAAGGGAGCCGCGGTTTCTCTGCATATTGTCCTCGACTTCCTCGACCCTCTTGCCTGTCACGACCTTCTTCAGAGTAGGAGCAATCCACGATGACTACAGTATGCCAGCCCATCGCGACAGCGACGGTGACGGACGTCGCCCTAAGCGGGACCATGATCACAACGTTCACCGAGACGGTGACGACCGTGCCTGGGTCGACTACAACGTCGGTCTTCAGTACCTGCATCGCAGCGACTGGAGTTTCGTCGTCGTGTATCCCGACGTTCACGACATTGACCTTTGTCGACGATGGTGCGTCTCTCTTTTCTCCCCCCTCCTCTCCTCGTTGCTCTCGACGTGGATGAGCTAACAGTTTCTTTTCGCTACAGGCTTTTCTTTCACCACAACGATCCCAATCACCATTGCCGTCGATTCAGCCGTGACCATCACCAACACCCTCTACGGTTCGACGTGCTCAGTTGTCGCCACCCCCGTTCCGCCTGTCGTGTCGCCGGTCATCACCCCAGGCATTACCCCGCGGCCCAGCGGCCCAACGAGCATGCCGTCGCTCACTAACTATCCATCGAGCACCGGAAGCTCGCTGCCTGCCCAAAGCACTGGCGAGGCGGGCGAGAAGTCCTTCCCGTTAGGCGCGATAATAGGAGCGGCGGTTGGTGGGTTCGCATTGCTCGCCGGAGCTGGTTTTGTTGCGTATAAATACTTGTGCGTCTTTGCTTTCCTCCTATTTCACATCCTTAATATCTCATCACTAACGAACTCCCCTTTCAGCACCAAGGGCAAGGCAGGAAAACCGTCTAAGCCTGGAAAATACGGTAAGGAAGACACCTACGTCGACTACAAGCCCACTGGCAAACCGCCCCCTTCTTCACCGCCTTCTGCGCCTGCGCCTCCTTCTGTCCCAACGGACCTCGTTCAGTCCGCGCTTCAGGGCCAATACCCCGGCGGCGGCGAGCAGTACGGATATCAGCCACAAGGATGCGAGCCCCAACAATACCCTCAAGGCTGTGAACCGCAACAGTACCCCACCCAACCTCAGGGATGCGAGCCTCAGCAATACCCCACCCAGCCTACGGGTACGGAAGGTCAAGCTCAGCAGCAGAACCCGTTCGGGGACTACCAATATGAGCCGGATAGGCTACCGCAGAAGCTGCAGGACAAGTTGAACGAGAAGATCGACCAGGCGCTGAATGGGCCGCCGAGGCCGAACTCTGGTGGAGGGGGGCCGCCGCCGGGCTATGGTCAACCTCAGCAGGGATACTACAGACAGGGTCAAGGACATAGTCCGACCCCGAGCCACGCGCACTCTCAATCGCACTCCCATCCGTACGCGCCGAACCCATCGTACTCGCCTCCTCCCAGTGTCCAACCTCAATACCAGCCACAATCTCAGCCGCCGTACGGCACCCCGACCACGAACTTGGGATACCCGCAACAGCAGCAGTCACCCTCGCGTCCTACGAGCGCGGTGTATGGACAGCCAGTGCCGACGCCTGGGTTCCCCGTTCCACAAGGCGGTCCTCCTACTCCGCAAGGACAGTAAAACGTCGCAGTGCCAGGTCAGGGAGGGTTCATCACTCCTCTGGGTCAGGCTCAGCAGGCTCAAGCGAGTTTGGCGGGGCAGTACAAGGGATACGCAGAGCCCATGAGAGGGTTACCTCTGAAGTAAATGTGTTTGGAATACGTTGACCAAGTCCGGTTTGAAGGCGTCTTTGGGTTTTATTCGGGTTCTACAAGGCAGTTATACGATTTTCTCTCGGTTTCTCTGTGGCTTATACTTACGATTGATTGATTTACATATTTTACTAGATTACGAATAGTGATGAGGATCAATGATATTTCAATGTCTGGAACCAACCGACCCATGCTGAGCCTGTTGTTCTGCTGACAGAAGCCTCGTCAATGATTGGTTCGCCTGCATAGTTGCCGGTTTTAGCAATCAGACTGCCATAAGCGGTTGTGCCGGACTCGCAGTGCTTTAGTAGGGGTTATAGCTAGGATGGAAGGCTATCTGAGGATCCCAACAAGTGGCCTGTATTAAGTGAAACCCTGCATTTTAACGATGTTTCTTTCACCCAACACTTGTGCCTTCCAGGCCGAGATTCACTGACGCCCTGTAGCCTCCTTCGCCGTGTGCCGGAGTAACTTACTTGGGGTTTCGTCCCTTCTCATGCTAACGACTTTCCAGACAGTTATTCTTCCCAAGACTTATTGCAGCATTTCCTTTGGCAAGTCGCTGTACTGGCCTCTTGTTGATATGCTCTAACAGGACAACGCGACAGTATTAGAGAAGGGAAATTTATCCTCATTTCCTGAGCGCATTGCTCATAGCAGCCGCGTGCGATATCTCGACGAGCACTAGACGTCGCGTTCCCGGTTGATTGGAAGTACTTGTATCCTTAGTGCTATCTTATTCGAGCATGACCACCGGACATTCCTCCACTATCATCACCTTCCTCGACGTGCTCATGGAAGCTCCCTACGGCCACCGCAGCGATCCATACCTCGCGATTCTGTACTTCTGTTACTTCCAATTCGACTATTCAACTCGCTGTTTGTCCGATTGCCCGTTGCGCCAGACCTTCGCTCACAGGTCTGCGCACATTCTGAGACATTTGTCTTTCGCCTCCCCAAGCCTACTATCGCCCTCGGTAAAGTGTCTACATCCCTCAAACTTCCAGATAATCACGCTTCGTACATACTGTAAACGTTGTCCTGGAATGAGTCAAAATGCGAAATCCCTTTTCAAGCCGAAAAAAATGCCTTTTGGAGGATCGGTGATCAGGCGGCTATACTATCACAAGGTGGAGTTGACCTGGGCTTGTGATCATCATTTCAATCTATTTCGATGAACAAGGAAAGGCCGAGAATGCTGGGAAGCGACGGAACGTGGTGGGGGAAGAGAAGCTGCATCGGAGTTGTGGGTGGCCGTACGGGCATCCTCGCTCCCATCTACTGCATTCGTCGCCGTGGCCGACGTTGAGCTCTTGTTCTGGTGTTCTCGAGGCCGTTCAGGAACGACCGAGAGATGGAGTGAGAGGAGTTTATCTAATCGTGGAGAATCACGGGGCATCGGCAATTTACGATCGGCCGAGGCGCGGTCGATCGGAGTCTGTTCGGCCGGTGGGGTTGAGTCAGTCTCCACTCATGTAAAAAGTTGGAAAGCACCGTTCTGCTTGACAACTCGCTCTCTCACTCAACACTTTCGTCGACATTTCGTCGTTCCCCTCTCTTTCTCCTTCCCAAAATGATCCCGGCCACAAGATCTTTCGCCGCCAAAGGCGCACCAAAAGCAGCGTCGGCCGTTCGTTGCAAATCCACTGTCGCCCCGGGGACCTCGTTTTCCATGATCGACGCAAAGTCGAGAGTGAGAGAGCATGCCCGCAATATAAGCCGTACAACCGTCGCAAAGGCAGAACCAGCACCCACCGCGTATGTCCTATTGCTTCAACACAGTGTGCTCGTGACCTGAATTACCACCAGCCGACCGACACCCGCGCCAGGCTTCCAGCAGATTCCAACACCGAGCAACACAAGACTGCCCCCGACGCACATTGAAGGCCCAGGACCGGCACCCAATGCCGCTCTCGACCACTCTTTCATTGGCCTTTCAGGTGGCCAAATCTTCCACGAGATGATGCTGCGCCATGGGGTCAAGCACATCTTCGGATACCCCGGCGGTGCCATTCTCCCTGTCTTCGACGCCATCTACCAGTCGCCGCATTTCGAGTTTGTCCTACCTCGCCACGAGCAGGGAGCCGGACACATGGCTGAAGGATACGCTCGTGTATCTGGTCTCCCCGGAGTCGTTCTCGTCACCTCCGGCCCTGGAGCAACCAACGTCATTACACCCATGCAGGACGCCCTCTCGGACGGTATCCCCCTGGTCGTCTTCTCCGGCCAGGTAGCCACCTCCGCCATCGGCTCCGACGCCTTCCAAGAGGCGGACATCGTCGGCATTTCGAGAAGCTGCACAAAGTGGAACGTGATGGTGAAGACGATTGAGGAGCTTCCGCGGCGGATAAATGAAGCGTTCAAGATCGCCACGTCGGGCCGACCTGGGCCTGTGCTCGTCGACCTACCCAAGGACATTACAGCCGGTATTCTGCGTTCGCCTCTGCCCTACAAGGCCACGACACCCGGCATCCACCTCGGGCTGCCCATGAACCCACTGCAGATGGCGGAGCTGCCGACGGACGCCGCGCTCGTGAAGCAGGCGGCTCACATGATCAACGGGGCGGAGAGGCCCGTGATCTACGCGGGCAACGGGGTCCTCTCGTCGCCCATGGGCCCTAAGCTGTTGGCCCTACTGGCAGAGAAGGGCAACATCCCCGTGTGCACGACCCTCCAGGGTCTGGGAGCGTTCGACGAGACGAACGAGAAGAGCCTGCACATGCTGGGGATGCACGGGAGCGCGTACGCGAACCTGGCGATGCAGCAGGCGGACGTGATCATCGCGCTCGGTGCGCGGTTCGACGATCGCGTGACGGGCAAGGTCGACACCTTCGCCCCCGCGGCGAGGCTCGCGGCTGCGCAAGGCCGCGGTGGGATCATCCACTTCGAGATCCTGCCCAAGAACATCAACAAGGTCGTCGAGGCGCAAATCCCTGTCGTCGGCGACGTCATTGCGAACCTCGCTGCGCTGGTGCCAGAGATCAGGGCGAAGCCGAGAGAGGGGTGGTTCAGGGATATCAAGCAGTGGAAAGAGAAGTACCCGTTCACTTTTGCAAAGAGCGAGCCGGGGGCGAGGATGAAGCCGCAGGAAGTTATCGAGGCGCTGGATAGTCAAACGAGGGAGAGGAAGGACGAAGTTATTGTCGCGACGGGTGTTGGCCAGCACCAGATGTGGGCCGCGCAGCACTTTAGGTGGAAGCATCCGCGGTCGATGGTCACATCAGGTGGTCTAGGGGTGCGTCTTCTATTATTTCCTCTATTTTTAAGTGCATACATTTACAAATTTGCCTTGTTTTAAACAGACGATGGGCTTCGGCCTCCCAGCTGCCATCGGCGCCAAAGTCGCCGCACCGCAAAAAACCGTCGTCGACATCGACGGCGACGCCTCCTTCAGCATGACCGCGATGGAGCTCGCCACCGCCTCGCAGTACTCCATCGGCGTCAAGATCCTCGTCTTGAACAATGAGTTCCAGGGCATGGTCCAGCAGTGGCAGGACCTCTTCTACGACAACCGCTACTCGCACACGCGCATGGTCAACCCGGACTTCGTGCTCCTGGCGCGGTCGATGGGTGTGCATGCGATCCGGTGCGAGCGGATGGAGGATCTGGACGCGAAGATGAGGGAGTTCTTGGAGTATGATGGGAGTCGGCCGGTGTTGATGGAGTGTTTGGTGGAGAAGAACGAGCATGTGTTCCCCATGGTGCGTCCCCCTTCTTTAATTTTGCGGCTGTTGTCGGTTGTTGGTTCAATGGGTTGTTGACACATGGCTGTTTGTTTGGCGTTGTAGGTCCCTGCTGGCAAGGCGCTGCATGAGCAGTTGCTACACCCCGACCTGAGAGAAACCGCCAAGAAGTCAAACTGAACGAACAAACATGAAGAGAAACGAACAAGAATTCAACTAACCGAAAAGGAACGCTACGATCTCATAATCCTTTATCTTTTCATCTTCGTTGTGCCTGGTTGCTCCATCTTCTTATTCATGGTTCCTCCTCGTCACCATCGGTTTCAGCATCTGCCCTATTTCCCTCGTCTTGTATAACAAGATCACATCCATCATTCCAACCCTCCAAACTAACTCGCATCAGCATCGTCAAACTCTATTTCCTTGTCCCTTTCTCCTCTTTCTCCTTCTCCTTTTTCCTTCTCTTGAAGCACGGCAGCAGTATATCCTTTTGTCCCCCCTGCTGTCGTTGACGTCGTGGAGCTGTTGCGGGCGCCTCGAACAAACAAAACGAAAAGGCCGATCCCTGTTGGTTGGCCATCCTTACCGTCTTTTGTATAACTAACTATCGTTTTCTCATACTTTCGTACGCATTACTTACGTGACATCAAGAAACAAAATGCATTGCCTTCTCCCAAATAAAATGGCTTCGTTCCTCAGTCAGACGGAAGATGAACAAGGCCGACGCACCTCTATCGTGTTCAATGTTCATGCCATGAACGTCGACTAGGGACCATTTGCACATGTACAGGCTTATTATCGAAGAAAAAGATTTATTTCAACAGAGTTGTGAGGCATATGTAGGATCAATACAAGCAAGATGTTTATACAGGAGTTCGGAATGTCTCCGACGCGCCGGGGGACTTTGATCACAGCTTCCACGGTGAGATCTTGACCTTGTGATCAGAGCGTCGCACTGTGGGCAGCCGATGCTCCTAAAAAACCCGCGTCGGAATAGCACTGATATCTACGGTATCTTGTATGCACCGTAAACTACCGCCTGTTTTAGCCTTGTTTTAACCTGCAATACAACCGGAGTATTAGGGGTTTCAGGCACCGAAAAAAAGTGGAAACACGTGGCAAAAACCCCAAATTTCGGCGCCTATTGCAGATTTTTTCGTGGCAGTCAGGCAGGCATTTTGGGCGCCTACACCCTGCTGCTATTTTCATCGGTCTCATAGGCAGTCATAGTCCTGGAGCTCAAAGCAGTTGTATTTGTAGTTAAATATTACATCTGTACATAGTATCTGAGGCTCCCCACTGACTGCTGAGTTCCGTCGCACCCGTGTCGAGCTCGCGGCGAACCGCCCTATTCGTCAAAGGCCTGGGGAAAGCGGGACACATGACGAGTGATTTATTGAACGGGACAACGATTAATTCATACCTAGCAGCTGTGGATGACGTAACTGGCGTTTCTGAGCTTGAGAAAGGTCTGGACGACATCGGGTCAGCATTTGTGTACAGCAAGAAGCAGCGGAATGAAACATACTATCACTAGGGATTCCACATTTGCCACGACTATGGTTGATAAGGAATCAGTGCGGCGAGAGTCAATTGAAGGCATAGATGTACCGGACAAGCCAGTACGTAGGCCGTCGTGATCCTCTGCTCGCAGTGGCTCTATGGAGCACTGGCGGTCCCTATAGAGCTCTTAATAACCGGGGGTCCTCCTGCGATCTTCCAATGCGAATGAGACTGAAACCCGGTGCCCCTCACCGAGTGTAATGGGAGCGTGAGCACACACTAGATGTTGGTACAAATTACTGATCAAATCAGTACCAACACAAGGGGGCGATGGAGGGTGCGTACCTTGACACCTCCTTCGTCAACGACGTAGACGCCAAGTTTCGGGCTGTGGTGCAGGTTAGCAATATTTGCGATGTTGAACCAAGCACACGAACAGATTTTGAATCCTGTAGACGCGTCAACAAAATGCACTCTCAAAAGTCGATGAGCTCAGGAACAACGTACCTGCCTCACAAGAGCCACCCATGGTATCATTTGCTCCTTCTCGCAACTGGTCTTCGCAGGAATAACGCTGTGAGTGAGTACATAACAGCAAAACCAAAGGTGAGCTTACCTTCGCCTGGCGCTGTCTATAACCACCTTCGCTTTCGATGTGGTTTCTATACCACGCACGTGCCCTACGGCTTCAGGAGCCATCCCTGCCAGTTGTGCATATGCCGATGATGCCGCGCTGAAAGTTAGAGAGGGCTGGTACTCAAGAGTAGCTTCAACTTGCCAGAGATGGGGCCATGGTGGACAAGTCGTGGATGAGTAGACTCCAGGCCATAGAAATCCAAAATATGAGCATAAATGAACGCATATATTGAATAAGAGGCCATACTTACAGCACCAGCATCACTTCTAGACGCGCTCAGGCTCCAGTGGCGATCCGATTCGTGATCGGCCAGATCGGAGGGCGGAATTAGTTCGTTCGGGTATTCCATCTAGTTTTGAGGTAGTTATATGGCCATCTGTGCCCACAGATAGAAGATCAGGCATGGGGAGAGGGTGGTTGGGGTGCAAGCTGCGGAGGACACGTTGCGGCTCAAAACGGGACGCATACTGTCACGTGCTCAGTGTTGTTTGGCATCGTCTTGTTTGTTCCAATAGGCGTCCAAACAAAGTGGGGAAGAAAATCTCACTTTGTTTGGACACCTATTGGAACAAACAAGACAATGCCAAACACTAGTCAAACTGACCCCCAAGTCCGCTGTCCCTTGTCGGCATGCCAAGCTTTCCAGGTTTGCGCTACCACCGCCGATGCTGCCCATTCGCCGGTGCCGGTGTGTACTCTTCTCCTCTGTGTGTATCCACAAGTAGCTAATTAAAGTGTCACAATTCCAGAGTCGTATTCGGTGCCTGGACTCATTGCCCAATGAGCTGTTCAACCAGGTGCAGCTCAATGACGACCAACAGTCTCGCATTGACGAATGCCACCCGCTCTTGCAGGACCAGCTACATGAACTCCTTCACACTACCCCGACAACAATGGCCAAGCATGGCTTGACGACTGGCAGACAATGGCGCGAGCGAAGGGTTTCGCAGAGGTGATTAGGCCCATCTTTTCACGAGAAAACTACAAGCTAATCATGCCATTTGCCCACATCGGACTCAACCGCAACCTCAACCTACCCACCTTCTCTCTATCGTTCCACTGCCCCTCTGTCCTAGGACTGCTCCACCACCATCAACATGACAACATGACAGGAGGGAGCTTATCAACACACAAAGGTATCACCCATGGCAAATGACAAGGTGTATTACAGTGCATATACAAAGCTTGAAGGTTGTGAACGTAGGCATATTTTTGGTGTATCGTTGAGCTATTTTTTCGATTCTCGACGTGAGGATGAGGACAGTTGGAGGGAATAACTATGGAAGGCAAGATGGTGTTAGAGCAGCAATAAATTCCATTATTTTAGCTGGATTTTATTTGCGGAGATAGCTAAGTGCCAGAATGACTACCTCGTAGGGCATAGGCAGGCGATTCACCGAAAGAAGCCATAACCCAGGATTTTACCTGCCCTCCGTAGCAGGGAAATAGACGGTTGGACCCATACCAGGAGATTTTAGGTATTTTTAGATATGGGTTAATTCCCGGTCGCCGGAAAACACCGGAAATACCTGCCTTTTGGAGGCAGGACGACCGAAAGCAGGGAATTTCATGTATTTTTAGATACAACTTATTTACCGGCTACTGAAAATCCCCGGAATTCCCTGCCTTTTTGGGGCAGGACTCCCCGGAGCAGGTATTTCCCCGGCTCCGGCTTCCCACAGTGGTCGTCAAAACTAGTTCCTTGCAGCGTTCTTGGGGCGAGCAGGTATGACGTGAGCAACAACCTCATGTCCAAAACGGCGCACATGAACCCTAGCACCTTCAGATATCATGTACGTCTCAGTGCCTGCCCGGTAAGTGTTCGGATCTTCGTATCCAAAGGCGTATTCCAGGGATCTCAGCTGCGTATATTCGAAGTCGCTATTCGGCTGGTCTTTCTCCCATAACTCGTAGCCGTTCGGAGTATTGACGGGCCTCCCGGAGAGGTCACAGAACCCAAGAGAAAATGAATGAAGCTCTCCAAGGTCGCCAGTCCAAAGCCTTAGCTGATACTGGTTATCGATGTTCAAAAACAAGCATTCCGCAGGGCTTCTGGGCTGCCGCTGTCGTTGAACAACGGGGTTTGAGCATTAATACAAAAGATTGTCATTAAATGACGACTTCACTTACTCCTATAATGCCTGAGATGCAGTTCGGGAGTGCTGGAGCAGGCGCTTGGTTATGGGTTCGCAAAGCACCGCACGCCTGAAGGAAGGCGATGACCGAATCACCAGCTGCTTGGATGTCTCCTCCATGCTGCCGGACGTAGTATTCGAGTATGTCCTCCTTGCTCGCTGTGGGATTTGCGATTTTCAAGAATGCCATCCACTCTGACTCTAACGCAGTCTGCCATAACTGGGGGTTATGGACTCGCGGATGAACCGCATGAGCAGCGGAAGGATGGCCGGACTGGGCACCGCCTGGCGGGTGACTATAGTAGGACATCATTGCAGTTAAAAGCGGAGTTAAAGGTTAAAGTAGTAGCTGGCGTGTTAATTGCTGGTGCTGGTGACCGGTGGGGCTTGAGGGCTTGAGGGAGCTTGTCCAACGGGGTGGATTAAATACTAGTAAGCCAACCAGTCACGTGCCTGATTTGAAAATGGGCGCTTAACACTGCACCGTTTATGCGTCTCCCTCAGTCAGGAGCTTCCCAGGATGCGCAGCAGCAGAATAATTGAAACGACCAAATTAACTCTTCCAAGCTTTTCCTGATGCAGTATAAATTAATAGTTACACTGGGCCCGGGTTCTTCGTCATGGGACAGAAAGTGAACTCGCGTAACAATCCGAGTTGCGAGCGTCCATAAGCGATATCTGGCCCACACACGCATTGGTCTGGGTTAGCCCTCATTCAAGTTACTAAACTCCTGTATGAATGACTCAAGGGGGATCCTGGGCCATGCCTCATGTCAGGGAAAAGAATTTCATAACAGGAGATCTTTGAGCGCTCGTAGGTGATTTGACGCCTCTAAGCCTTTCCAAGCCTACAGCAGAGGATAATTGCGCCATTGAGTCGCACAAATGACTTGCTTTCAGGTAGGTTGCTCGCCTTCATGTGATTAAAAAGCTGCTGCAGCCAGCTCACCATGACGAAACACAGCCTCTAGCTTGTCAGAAGGACAATCATCTGGGATGGTAAAATGGGCGCCAATGATAACCATCTGGCATTGCGCCTTCCGACTGCTAAAACGAGTCGGTGGGTGGGTCAATGGCGTGATGAGATGCCGCTCATGAGTAGCCAAGAACCTTCTCGGCGATACTCCATAGCAAATTGAATTTCAAGGTCAGACCAGCCAGAAGCCTATATAATGGCCCAGGGACCTACAGTGCTGTTCTCCTCAGGTTGAGGTTCCTTCACGACGAAACAGAACGCACAAGTAAGTTGACCTCATCGCCTTTCGTTATATAAGATCCGCTAATTTCCTTGTTAGATATACAACATGCCTTTTCTCGGTAGTGTCAGTTCCAAACACCCGGGCGAAGTTCAGATAGATATCAAGTTTCACCCGGACTTCAATGGAAATGAGAGACGTCTAGTTATGTTCTGTTTCGCACCAGGCAGTACCTTCTTGACTTCGCAAGACCAACTCCCAGGAATTCCAGTCCCCATCTTTACTCAAATGGACATGCAGAGGTATTTTGGTCGCCCGGTTCCTCTCATCTACAACACGTTTGGAGTCGGTCTATTGAATCAGCAGCCGGGCGTTTATCCAGGACTTGCCTACATTCTGCTGATAGCGGGAGCTCCGATCTGTGTCAGATACGTCCTGCGCAACTTCATTGATGACGGTGAGCTCCTCCCGGGCCGCGATGCTCAACAGCCCCTGCCGAATCAACAGAACTACTTGTTTCGATACATACCTCACAACCGCATAGGAAACAACGGACCCGTTCAAATGGTCCCTATCCCGGGAAGGAATCCCACCGATTTCTCCAGATTGCTCTTGAAAATCCAAGCTCAACACTCTCGTATGACAAGCAACGACTGGCGCAATCAATAATCATAAGGATTCCAGAATTTCCAGTGACGACGATATTTTTATATACTCTACCTATCAGAAATGTCATACATGTCGATACCTCACCTGCTTTGTGGGATAGACGAATGCTAATGCTATCTTGTCACCTTTCGTTACATCTGAGACGTAATTATTATCATCACCACTTGAAAACGTGTTCAAATTCAACAAGGCGATCCGATCTGGCAACCTTTCGGACATTTACTTATGAGTAGGCCGCCGGGCCTGCTCCTGCTCCTGCTAAGAGATCTAATTCGTTGCTAATAATGAACACGAAACTTCTAAAAATTCTCAAAATTCTGACTCAGAGAGAGTACATGAAGGCCAGTGCCAGCACGTTTACGGGACGGTTATGATGCAGCAAGGTTTTGACTTTACGCCCCACGCACGTGATGTCCAAAACGGGATTTCATTATGTAAACCATTATCTAATCGACCCAAACAAACCGCTCGATTGCGGGCTGTTCTGAGCAAAGCCACTCTTGGTCCCAACCGCCACCATCGTCGATGACCCGACCCTTCCCCCTCCCCTTTTCACCCTTTCCTTCTCTTCCTCCTCCCCTTTCCACCTAATATAATCCTCCTCGTCGTTGACCGCGCCCCTCTCCTTCCAACATCACACGTACAACACGGAAGTGCATGCACCAAGGGAAATGGAAGAGCACAGTGAAAAGTGGCACGGTGCGCACATGGGCGCAGTGGGCTACGGCAGGGGTTAGGCACTGGAGGCCTCGGAGGGCGTCAAACGCGATGGGTTAAATGCAGCCTTCTCCCTCCCCATCGCGTCGGCCACGTTCAGGTCTTGTGTCTCCGACACCGTGCCCAGCGTCTCTGCTTCAACCAACGTCCACCCTAACGACCTCGCGCTCTCCTTCCTTCCTCGGCTCGGCAAGAATTAGACACAGATATTGTATCTTTTAAATGATAATACATCATACTTTCGATCACTTCAACACCTGTATGAACAATGTTTATTGAGCTGCTATTGATGTTTATAGACTTAGTGCATAATTTCAGATTACTGACGGTGGCATGAGTGGCTCTCAGCCAAACGAGCCAGTTTGTGAACTCGCCTTAATGTCAGCGAACCACCTTCCTAGTTGGTGTGTTTACATAGGTGTCACCAAATCGGGACATCACGTGCGTGGGGCGTAATTTCGCCAACTCATTATGACGTGTGACAGGCGCATAGCGTCACGATGTCACAACAACATCGTTGACAACCCAAGTGGCACTGAATCATCGACCACACGACCACAACCAATATTCAACGGTGCAACGCTTTAGCCTCTCATGTCCAACGCGTCTGGCACCTACCCCCATGAACTCTTTTATTCCGACTGGATGGATTGCCTCATGAAGTCCAACGCCGGCGCTCTCCGAGAACACATCGCTGAGCACTATGCGCGACAATATGGCAGCTTAGAGGCTGCAGCCGAGCCCGTTACGAGGTTCTATCAAATGTGCGGGACCCTGCCTGTTCCAGAAGGCTCCGCGCGTCCTGAACCAGAATGTCAGCTTGGGATTCTTGGGGGTACGTAGCTCATCTGCTGCCTAAAAGATGCCATTTGTGACCTTTTCCGTTCTGTTTTGGATTCAACTTCAAGCGTCAGCCAAGTGGCAATGAAGACACCCTCCTTCTGAACATCAACGACCGCTACGCGCTTCGCTTGTGGAAAGGAGACCTTGACAACCTCATGCTTTATTCCTTCAGTTTCTATGACCGTCAACAAAGGAAGGCCGTCAACACCCCTCAAGATTATACCATTCACATCAATGAGTTCAATGAGTTGGATGCGGATCCTGGCATCGAGCTTCGCTCTCTCGAAGCGTCTTTCCGTGTTCAGGATTGCCCTGCCGGTCTGGAGTCGTACATGGTTCAGGAAGGAACGTGTATAAGTGTATGGAAGGGTGGTGAGAGGGTATCCAATCTTCAAATTCCTGTGAGGATGCGACCCGCCCAGCCTCCTTTTACCCACCCTCAACCGTTTGGGACGCTAGTCCAGGTGCCTATCGTACACTTCTAGGAGCCTTTTATGATTCCTTGTGCGTCGCATTTAAGTAGCTTGGCTCACTGTCTCCAAGTCTTGTCGGTTGTCATCGAATATTCCATATCTAGTCAGTACATAACACGGCTGTTATGCAAAATTATTTTTTAGACACTAGCTTTTGTCCTTTGACGAAGGGACTCTTTTGAGCTGGCTGATTGACATTGGATTGGCCTACATAACGTCGTGGTGGTCTTCATGCTGGACTCAGTCAAGAACGTTGTGTGGCAAGTGCTTCGTAGTCTCGTTCTGTTGCAAACAAAACGGGATCATAGGGTATTAGGGTATACTAGTTTTTACACTGTTTACTTTCAGTTTAAAAGAGTGCTCTGAAGTAGCCTAGCGTGTAGAAAGATATTAGTACACAGCGCCCCAGATAGGTGCAACCCGGTCGATCTCGTTTCCGTCCCGTCCCCAGAACGCTACGAGACCCCAAGCGCCACCAGAACCAGCGTCGGATGGGAGGTTGTTGGTCAAGCAGTCGCTCGTGGTACTGCCGGCCTGCACTGTCCTGCCCTGATTCGTGGTTAGTCTGAGGTGGAATACGCGCGTGCTGTCGTTGTACTTCGCGCTGCAGGCGAAGACCGACGTGACACGCTCGCCCGAATTCAGGTTGAGTGTGTTGGCATTGCCACCGCTACCACCGTGAGTCGTGGTCGTGGTCGCGCCGTTGGGGTAGCGGACGATGAAGGAGATGCCGTCGATGCGGTTGCCGCCGCGGATCGTGATGGAGGTGAGCTGGGGGAGGGTTCCACTGAGGAGGGCGGGGATGTCGTTGAACGGGTCGCCGTGGGGTCCGCCGATGGGGTCGCCGAGGCGCACGGACGAGGAGATGCGCCAGGTGAGTGTGCTGGTGAGGGGGTAGTGGTCACTCAGAGGCGCTCCGGCCGAATCGACGAACGAGTAGTGCGCGTTCCTGAAGGTTGCTGCGGGGAGGCCGACAGCAGGGCTACCACGGATGAATATCTTGTCGACGACCTCACACGCGACGAGCGCGGCTTCGCTTGTGCCTGCGGCAAAGGGGAAGGGGCAGGTGAGCGACGCAGAGCCCGACGCGGGGACGACGCCGCCCCTGACATTCGACACCCAAAGATCCGTGGTACCTGTGTTCGAAACGAAGGATCGCAGTGT